GTCACGGTCACAGTCGCTTCTCAAACATCGCGTCCAAAACCTGAAAGTGGAGGAACACCTGTCAGAGCTTCGTGGCACTGTTTCACGCGAAAACAACCACCGACTTCGAGATCGAGGCATGTGGTGGTAGGAACGACAGGTCATCTGAGGGGTCGATTTGCATTCGCCGACATGGAGATTTTATCTTCAAGACATGACAAGGCCCATGCAGTAGTGTCCGAGTGTCTACAGGAGGTGCAACACGTCTTGTCTGGTTTCTGCATGTCTTGTCCCAGCAGCTGGAAGGTGCAACTCTTCGTGGCAGACAGCACATCGGCCTATAGCTTTCACCCAGTCCAGCTGCTTTCTGCTTTCACCAGCCTCCCAGACGTGTCGCATTCGCGACACGTGGCACACCTGGAAATCGAGCACTGAGCCATGGCCAAGGCTGCCAAGCGATTGCGACCTGCGCCACGAACCTCCATGCGTTCGCTTCGAGTCGGTTCATGGGGTCTGGTCGGAGGAGTGCATGGCCCACACGTGGTCCATCTGCCAAACACGAAGCATCTTCAACCAATTCATCTCCAACTCTTCTCAATTTCGAAGCGACCTCGCCATCAGGTTCGTTCTTGCGGCTGGTCCAGAGGGCGGGCCAGACTCGGAAACTATTAGCTGGGTGTTCACGTTTTGCCGTCACTTTTGCCAATGCATTCCCTGGAATTCGAACCATGCATGCCTAGATGTTCCAACATTGCAGCAAATGTTTGCCTGCTGACTTCGAACGAGGGAAAGCAACCAAGAACAACTGGTTGTACGGCAATTGAATTTGAATCTTCGATTTCTTTAAAAAGACTCAGCAACACATCCACGTCAATCAAAGGGGCTTATCACACTCATATGACTCATATGTGTCACCTTGAGCACTTGCTACATGGCCTTGCTCGAAGCCCACTCCAACCCTCTTCAAGCCACGACCATGCAAAGAGACACCAGAAACGGCAGATGTTGGTGCGAACCAGCTGCTTTTAGACAGATTCAGCCAACTCTTCTGCGCGCTGCGCATGCTGCACTTACTGCTTGTCAGTGATACCGTGGATGCATGTGGATGCGGAACACAGGGCCATGTGGCCAGCCTCGCACAGTGGGGGAAACCTTTAGACACTGCGTTTTTCACGCCAGGAGCCTCACCCCTCTTCAGGGCCTTTGCTTTTGGATCTCTCCGAAAGGGCGTCATGAAGGGGAGATCGGGAAACTGCTCGGTGAGCTCACTCATCGACCAGAAAGTGTGGACGAAAGATTTTTTACATCAATCCTTGTGGTTGAGACTGGGAAAACATCTATTTGTTTCTGGTTGGAGCCGAGTTTCCAGGTCAAAATGATATACGGATATTTGCCTTTGACCTGCAAATTCAATGCCTCTAAAAGTTGTGTGGTGGGGCTTCGCAGGTCTTATCTTCAGAGCTGGAACAGTGTGTTGGTTTCAAGCCTAGCATTCAGTGATCCTGCTGCATGGGCGTAGTTCAATGTCACTTGGGCACAAGCTGAAATGATGCCAACGGTGTCTGGCCACTCCTGGGTGCAAAGCAAAAGGTGCACCATATATTTTTTGAGCTGCTCCAACTTGCTAGGTCGATCAAAGCCTCTTCGAGATGCTGTTTCCATGTGGTCAGCTTAAATCTGTCGGCGGTCAGGGGCACTGTCAGGGGCAACTTGAAGAGTCCCAGTCTGACCGTCTGCTGACCTCGATGCAACCGATGACCACCGGCGACCACGCGAAACCTGCACTCGGTGGAACCGGCGCCCCCCGGCGTTGCTAAGCGGCCCAGCTCGACGACGGCGACGGCGAGTGAGTTCTGTGAGGTGGCAGGCTATCGGAGTTCTGGACTTCGGAGTGAAGATGTGAAAAGGGCCGGTCAGTCTTTGAGGGAAAGGTCTTTGCGCAAAGAGATCTTTGCACATCTCACATTTGCTTTTGGCTCACAGACTTCGGATCACCCTCTTGTCAGCGGTTCGGTCGAAGAATTCAATTGGTTCAATTGCTGTTGAACGTGTTGAACGTGGTCAGCTGTTCGAAACGGTGGCTTTCAGTCACCGGGACATGTGCAACGAGTTGGACAAGGCGGTTTGTCTGATGTTTCAATGGGTTCAACTGCACACGTCCAGATCCCGTTGCAACCTACTGCAACTGATCTACGTCACTTGCAGCGCTGCTCAGCTGTAGTCACTCGATAAAACATGAGTTTCTTGATGAACACGTTGATGGCTACAAATCAGGAGCAAAAGGAGGAAAATCTGACATTGCGCCACACTGATCAGATTGAGACTGATCAAATGGAAGATGTTTCATCTTCTTGCCCCAAGAGACCCAAATGGTCAATGTGTCTCTCTAGCGCTGTGCAAAGCCAAACACTGCGGCTCCAAAACATTTGAAGTTCCCAAGTTAAAAACATTGCTTGCCCCTGAAAAAATGAGCATGGCAAACACAAACAAATACCTGCCGTGACTGCACTTCGAAACATGAGTACAAGTACCTGTTTTACGGTTTCATATCCCGCTTTCGAATTTTCAAATCAAATAGGTACTTTGGAGGGTCTAGGCACTTACTTCGAGTCATATCTGGCATCTCTTCTGGCATACTACCTGACAGCATCTCTTCTGTGCTGACTTGCTATGCATCCTGAGCGGTGATTCAAACGAAGGAAAGACATGATGGTAGTACCGACAGGCAATTCTGACAAATGACCTGACACACTGACAATATAAATTTAGTGACATCATCTCGCCCTCCTCGTGCATGAATGACATCTGCTCCAGTATCCTTATATTCAATGATACTCAGTGTACTGACATCACACATACGGTATGCCACGTGTGTCTTTGGCATTGCCACTCTTGCGCAGCCGCACTCTCAGAACGTGAGAAGACTGAGAAAGACTGGTGTCGGGGGAAGAGTGAGGAATGATTACACCAATGGCATCCAATCGCAGAAGACGTCCTAATCTGTGACACCAGTAACCAAAAACGACATGCACCAGGACATCACTGAGTATTCTCACCACACAGGTAGCGAGTACGAAGCCGAAATTGGATCGAGTACGTACCGCAATACTATGGGGCACAGAAGTCAAGCATCATGGTGAGAACGAGTCTAAGAGGTGTCTACACTTTCTCCATCCACTTGTTCGGTGGACCTGCCCACTGCGGCCCTTGCTCTTGCGGTCCGGTAGTGCCCTCTGCGATCTGGTACTTGAGGAGGAGCAGGAGGAGGAAGAGGAGACAGAGGAGACAGCAGACAGAGACGGGAGCCTCTTCTAGAATCGAACAACCCTCACCTGACAGGTGAGGAAAAAAACACCGGATTCGACATTGCAGTTTCAACACAGTTTTAGTAGCGTTCACATTCACTGGGTTCGCCGGGTTCTCCCCAGTTTACCAAGCTCACTTCTCCATCGGCTGGGGGCTTTGGTGTTGGGTGCTGGATGGAAACGTGTAGACGGTGTAGACGAAGCGCTTAAGAAGCGATGGGCAAAAGCATATAGTCTTGCTTGTGATTTGCTTGAAGTTTGGTCATGTTCAAATGAAATTTAACAGCAAAAAGACTTTGCAAGTTCGCTTCGTTCGATTCGTTCCTTTTCTTCGCCCAACTCGCTCGAACAGCGCAGCACATCTTCCACTCGCTTTCGCGCCTGTCACAAGGCAGAGAAATGACCGACATCTTCTCAGCTCTGGGGTGGTGAATGGACACCCCGTTCATCACCTCTTTTCGGGGCGAAATCAACAGGGAGCTCCGGGAAGTAGGCAAGCCGTGCAAGTCAAGCGCCCCGAAAACACCCTACATGTTCTGCCCCGTGACCCCCCGTGGTCCGACTCAGAGAGCTCAAACGCCGTCTGACATCCAAGTTCAAGAGAATCAAGAACCCTGAGAGTCCAAGACTATTTTAGAAATGGTCGTTGTAGATGACCCAAATTTCGGAATGTCCTGTACCTTCAGCGGTGCCAAATCATGCCAAAATACAGCCGAACTGGGTTTATCAGTGATAATGATTCATTCCGGGTTCGATTCCCCCCTCCCAACCCTCTCCGTCTAGTGTTTTGCAAGGGCATGTATGTTTTATGTTTCCCTGGATGTTTAAATCTTCACTGCGCGTTAGGGATGAAAACTTGAGGATCTCCTCTTACATGGAAGTCTCCTTTTCTCTGCCAACCAGTGTATTTTCTCTGCATTGAATGTTCTGCTGGAAGCACGACTTCCCACTGATTCCAAGCGATGTTTCACATGTTCGAGCATTGCTTTGCGCTCGCCGCGCGCCTCTTTCTGCGTCGCCCGAAGCTACCCGACCTCCCCATCCTTCTTCCCTGCACGCGGGCCGGAGGTCGGCTGCAGGCAGTAGCCGGCTAGTTTCAAACATCGATTGGTGACCATCGTTGTTCCCTTTCTCTCAAAGGGTTCCATCGACCACCATGAAAACGTCTCGTGCAGGCCTCCTTTTCCTGCCGGACATCGCGCACACCGCCCCGGACATTCGCCGTGACCACTTTCAATAAAGCGCCAACAATTCGGGTTTCGTCCACCAGAGATGCTTTCTGATCACCTGAAACTATGGAAAGGGTGGTTTATGGACACCCTGACAGTATGTTCCATCCAATAAAATCTTCCCCAAAAGTAAAACTGTTGCTTTGAGGTCGACACTTTGTGTCGACTGAGTGACCGCTCTTGAGCCGACGCAGGCGTCAAAGGCAGTTCGGAACCAAACTGCGCCGAGTTTGGTGTGTATGCGCTGTGCCGAGTTCGCCGCTGGAAACATATGGTAGTTGACGCTGAAACAGCAGGATCGACAGGATCGCCCCTTTTGGGTTCTGGTTGTTGTTCAAATGATTTGTCTTCAAATCCTTACACAGGTCGGCATGCCGAACTCATCCCGCACTCCTTTTGGAGTGGGGGGTGAAAAGCTTCGGTGGACCTTGGATGTCTCGTGGCCATGGTCCTGTTCCTCTCGTTCCGTTCCTCTCGTTCCCTCGGTTCACGGCCGCTTCGGCACGACCATCATGCCCGGTTCGGCCCAACGTGCCATCCTCTTCGTGAGCTTGATCTCTTGTAACTCCTCCAACGACACCTGGGGGGGCGGCCATTGGCCATGCTTCTTCAAGTCTTCGAGGTCCTCCGGTCGGACGACACCCAAGGCCTGCATCATTTGACAGGCATTCGTGGCCGCGAAGTCCTCCGTGGCCAACAAATTCCGCGCCCGGTAGAGCGACCCACCCTCCGCCTCGGCCGCCTCACGACCCACGGCACCCGTGCGTTCGTTGCTGTTGGGGATGCTGTCGTGGAAGCTGAACTCACGATGGAGATCGAAGCGTTGGCTACTGGAGAGTTGCGGCTCTTGCTTGAAGTGGAAGTCCTGCAGCGTAGTGTGGGTGGGAGAGATGTGCGCATCGGAGTCTGAATCTGTTGTCTTTTGGGAAAAGCCGTCACACCGAACAAAGAAAGCGGGCACTGCTACAATAACAGCTGACAAAGCTACCAATGTCCCTTTTTTGAAACGGGAAAGACCTGGTGTTGTACAAAATCCTCTATACTAAAACATGCAATGAGTTATAATTATTAGTGATTTCTTGTTGTCTCCTTCAAGACCTGCATCACGATGTCCATCATTTCCATCCAATTCATTTTGCACTGCGTCTCATGCACTTCTAACGCGACACAGAAGGAGGCCAGAAACATTCCCACGGGAAATCCCGCTTGCATGGGACTGGCAGGGCCCATCGCTAAGGCGTCATTGCCCACGGACACTTGATTATCATCACATCCAGAGATACAAATCACGTCCGCATCGGCATAAAAGCCCCCCTTGTCCACTTGCCATTTCCCCTCCCATTCCTCCTTGGTGCCCTTTTCCATGTAGGGGCTCCATCGATAAGCCAGATCCAGTCCAGTGCCCGCATGGCAGCAGTCTAACAAACAGGTCAAGCGCACCCCGGCAGCTAAGGGCTTCCTTGGCTTAAGGAAGCCGGAGAAAATGAAATGACAAACACAAAACGCCGAGTAGAATAAAACTCCCAAACTCCTTGGCCAGTTCACCCATGTTTTGGCCAGTTCATTGGCCTTAAAGCATGGGCGAATGGTGAAGGAGTTTGGGAGTCCCAGTTTGGGAACATCAACCAATTCACCCACTTCAAAATACCGCCACCCTTCGCGCGCACCAAAACCGCCAGGCTTCACCAAGAGCTCGTGCAACTCGTCGTCGATCAGCGGCCCCGACTCATCCACGTCCACTGGCACGATGGCCTCGTTCTTGCCGTCCTTCTCGTCGTCCTGGAGGGGTGCAGCAAGCGGCCGAAGCCAAGTAGGGAGCTTCCGGAAGGCACGCCAAGCCTACTCCCACCCCAGGCTTCCCGGAAGCCAAGCATGAATTTCATAGGCTTCAATTTACTGAATCAACGAAGGATTTTACACGACAAAAACCAGGTCGTTCCTATTTTTTAAGGGTCGAACGGAAGTCATTAATATAGAGAAAATCACACGGATGTGTTTATGGTGTTCATGGTTTTAGTCTTATACTAAGAACTTCATTTGTACAAAACAAAGGGGAAGAAGACGAAGGGGGCAGAGAGGAACCACATGGAACTCCAGCAAAAAGAAACACGTCGGCCACAGGGATTCACCAGCGACGTCAGAGGCGACGTGTTCTTTTGACAAACAGGACATCGGGCTGAGGTGGATATGGCTCTGGACGACTGGACGACTCTGTTCGATGGACTTGGATGCGACGGGTCGATGAAGTACCACCAAGGAGTTGAGGTACGTGGTGACCATGGACCCAGTGCATCCCAGGCAATCAACCCACGAGTGCGTCGTACGGAACCAGGGGCCCTTCGGAACCGGTCGAACTGGTGCTTTTTTTCGAACTGGAATTACTGGGACTCCCAGCGACATCGTGGGAACTGCCTGGATGCCCTGGGGTACATATATCCCTAGAAATCGAACCACCATTGCTTTCATAGCCGGGTCATCGCGAACCACCATTGTTTTACTAAGGGTTTTACACTACAACAAAACCAGATGATCGTTCCCATTTAAAAATTAGTCAACTTGACTTCCAGGGTATGTTCCATCCAAGATAGTCAACCCGACCCTCTCTGGTGCGATGGGAATGACTCTCGTGGTCTCGTTCTCTGTCTCTGTCCTGCCATGGGAACACCACCGACCACCGAGTCCTGGAAGTTGGGTACTTGTGTTCCATGGCCACTGAAGAAGAACAAAAGGCTGTCTCCTGGCACTGCCTCATGCACCAGCCAGCTGATGGAGTCTCGGATGTTGCTCTTCGTTGGCATGGTGCTTTCAGAGGTGTCGCCCAGATCCATGAGAACCCTCACATGCTCCGAATCATTGATGAATCCCCACTTCTCGCAGAGATATTCCTTGATCTTGTAGGCATCTTCGGCACAGTGTCCCAACGCCATGGAGGTCTTGGGATAGCTACACCCGATGAAGAGCCCTTTGCAATTGGGCTTCTCCCTGGCCGGTTCTCCGGTGATCCCCTCCGGGATCAGCGTGGCGGCCACCCGGATCGCGGCCGTCTCCTGCGCGCTCCAACAGCGAGCGCGGTGGGAACAGCGAGCGGGTGGTAGGGAGTGCATCACCATGCAGGTCCAGGGTTGGTAGCTGCCGTTTTTTTCACCTGGTTAGAGTATGTGGTTTTGCACATGAAATACAGAGAGAGATCATACATATTATATATGGACTTCAACCCACTGAAGACAGAGTCTGTCTTGGTTGGAGGTCTTCTGACTTTCGACCCGACCAATCGAAAGAAAAGTTCGGGCCTTGACGCCCTCCTCTCTCGTCGCCATGATGTAATCCTCCACCTTCCGCAAGCCAGGTAGAAAGTGATGCCATTGAATGGTCACAGAGGCAATCTTGATGCTCTCCTGTCGGCTCAAGCGGTTCATCACTTCGAAGTCAATCTCAAGAGTGCCGCCTGTATACTCCACCTGAGCAGCTATGCAGCTATATGCGTTTTGCTATGCGTTTTGCTACCTGAATTTCACCCAAATTGCATGGTGATAGGGATTGTGGGCAGAGAGCAGGACAAATGGCCATGACAAGAATCAGAGGCGAACAATGAGTTACACCCCCCTTCACCTCCTTGGCCTCCCACCGCCTACCTAGCCTTCCAGCTCCGTGCCCAAGTTCCGGTGTTGCCTTCCAGGGAGACCTGTTCCGGTTTGGCTCCCAGGAAGACCTTTTGCAACATTGGTTGGGCTAACACACTCACAACTACCTCAGGAAGAAGGAGGTCTTGGCCCGCCTGAAACTTGTTCTTCTGCCACTTTGGATTCGTAGCCCCCTGGTCTGCGTCTGTGCTGTATTCCTGACCGCCATAAGTGAACTTGCAGAAGCAATTTGGGTTCTGCACAAAGAAGTGTCTCCCACAAAGAACCTCCAGCACCAACGGCATGTTTGGGAATATGGCTTGGACTCCTTGTTTAGGTTTGTCCTTCCAGAGCCAAGATGCTTGACATGTTTCGCCAATGCCCACATGACACAGAAGATCACATGACACACACGGAAACCTTCAACAAAAGCAGTTTCAGTGCAGCGTCTTCCATGAAGCACCTTTTGCACAGCTGCAATGCACAGCGAGCTGACGCTCTGCTCAGCCATACAGAATCGATCACAGATCGATCGACCAAAGGATCGATCGGATTGGCTAGCAGGGGTTATTGGACTCAACTCTTGATATCGTCAATGATATTCAATATCCATGCATAAGGTCAACAATCCCTGGTGAGTTGATCAAGGCCCTGACCTCTTCTGTGCGATACTTTTGGCACAACACAACACGGCCCAGTGCCGCCGCGGCCCGTTGTGTCCGCCCAAACCATCGATCCATGGCCGGTGGTGACGATGGCCCATGCGTGCGTTGCCAGCTGCACTACTCTGCACTGAGTAGTCCCAAACACTCCAATGGGACTGGTATATTGACCGATCAGTCAGGCCAGGGGTGGTGAAATACAGAGGGATCAAGGGATGGGAAATCTGACGTCGACATGGAGTGTTGAGCTCTGCGCTCTGCGCTGCTCTGCGCTGCGCTGCGCAGCGCGGTCTTCACACGGAAAGATCCCGAAGATCCGGAGCTGGTGCTTCGGCCCCACCGCCTGCGCGCGGCTCTCGCGCGCGGCCTCCAACCAAGAGGAGGGTGCGAACGGGATCATGGGGAGGTTGGTCGTTTTCTGCCACACCCCCACTACAAGAGCAGTTCGGGATGAAACACCTTCTGTAACGGTTCTCAATGCTGATGTCAATGGGTTCCAACCCGTTGTTGGGACTGGGGAAACCCACGAACGTTCTACGAAGTCCATGTTTTCGACGTCGTCCTGTCCCAGCGAACCCACCGACCCGACAGCGAACCCTTTTTCCATCGCTGACGTCGTGCGGTCATGGTGTTCTCGTGGGCTCGGAGCGAACTCGTGCGGTAGGGCCAGTAAATTTGAAGCTTCATGAACTTAATTTCATTGGAAAAACGAAAGAAGTACCACAGGCTCTATTTGTTGCATGATGTTATCTTAACTACCCAGACGATCCAAACAGCCCTTGGTCCCTCAAAACCTAGGGATTTGAGACCCCAGACCCCTCCATATGAGGGTCCGACCCTTCCATATGAGAGCCCATGAGCGTCTGGGTATTTGTTTTAAACTTAAACCACATATCATCACAATTCATCACATATATAAATCATATATATATATATCAAAAATGTCTTCAAACATGTCTTCGCTGCAAGAAAGCCAATTCCTCTATAAAATCAGACCCCCATCCCCCCAAAGGGGGGTATCATAAAACGTTTTACGGCGTACGTTGACCCTCCTGATTTCATAGGCGTTCTTGACACGATTATGACCTGTAGGTATATATATATAGGTATAGGTCGTCCTCCCCGAGAGGCAATGATGATCATGTGCCAGCACCATGGAGTTGGTTCATAGACACCCCTTTTCCCTAGGCATGGCATTGTCCCTCCAAGAACCACCCGAAATCCGTGGTGCTGGTGTATATTGTATCGTTGAAGCTTCCACTTCGAGGAAGTCTTCTAGCCATGACTTGCCGTGACGTCTTCTGCATTGGTCATTTGTTACGTCCCCAACGGGTCCCCATTCGAGCCATGTGGTTTTCCTTTTGAGCCATTTTTGGCTCGCTCGGTTTTCGACAGCTAAGATCTCTCTCTCAGGCGCTCTTAGAGCCCAGAAAGGACTTCTTCACCTTCTCAAAGACCTCCGAGACCTCCCACGACGGCCCGCGAGATGCAAGACGCGGCCGGGCTGAGCTTTCCACCGGGCGCTGGGGCTCGAAGGGGCTCGTTTTCTTTAGAGAAGCGGCCGTTGCCTTTGAGGTATGTTCGTTTCGGACTGGGAGGATCCGCCGAAAAAAAAAAAAAAAACTCCGGAGTCACAGTCACAGTGGTGGTGTTTAGTCAAGTTTAGTCCGAGTGGATAACGGGCACTTTAGCCTCTATTGAGCACCCCTTTGGAACTGCAAAACGCTACATGTTAGGTCATTTCACCCGGACCGCGAACGGGGACTTCCGAGAGTGAGTGGAAAGCGATGCTTCCGCTTTCGAGTGCTCCGCTCATTTATTAAGCCCTAAGAATCCGGGCCCTCAAACAGATAGGGTTTGGTTCGGGCCCGGACCCCTGCTATGGAGGTCGGGTCCGACCCCTGCCATGGAGAGCCCAAGGATTCTTAGGGAGTGAATTCATCCTTCCAAAATCTTCCAAACCTCCCGCAGATACCAGGACCCTTGCGGCAAAAAAAAGGGTGTCTACCTTAGGATTCCAAAAAACGAAGAAAACGCCAGCTCTGAGTGAATACCCGGGGTTTTCAGATGAAACCCAGGGTTTTTAGCTTAAACCTGGGTTTTGGTTTTCCTGTGCCCTGTTTTCCCCACTGAGAGGGAACCTGCCCTGGTCTGAATTAGGTGATCTAAGGTGCACTCAGCTCCTGGATTTAACTGTAGAAGGGCAAAAAATACAACTGCGACTGTGGGCTACAATTTCTGGTCATTTGGACAGCCCCCAGACCCACGAATTTTTCATGGGTTTGCACGAGTAAATCACGGGTTACTTGACGCAACATCTCAATCCGGAACTTTTCCCGATTGGGGTAAGATAATTCCGTTGTGGGGAAGAGAATGGGTTTGAAAGAACCTGCGCTGCTTCATGTTTCTTGGGTTTTTACCAGGTTGTCCTGGTCAAGTCAAGACTTAGAGCGTTTAATCGCTGCCTGGCTGCCGGATGGCAGGAAACCCGGGGTTTTGAATGGACACCCGATGTTTTGGATAGACACCCTGGTTCTTTATTGGTGTGGTGTATAAACCCGACGTATCCATCGGAACCATTCGGAACCCGTCATTTTTTCAGGGTTTGGATGCTAAGGGTATATCGCAAGAACTCAGTCCAAGGACTATGTTTGGCGCTGAACTAGCACCCCACAACTGGCTGTGGACCTGTTTGGATGGAGACCTCTGCCCAAAACGACCAAAAACCAATCTCCAGAGCCATTGGAGCCACATCTTCGGGGGAAGGCTCTCCACCGCGCCTCGCCGGCCGCCAGCTCCGGGAAAACCTTCTCCGAGTCCTCCGGAGCCGTCGGTTGGTGCGGGGACAGTTCAGTGCCGTCCGGACGAAGCGACCGGGCGCGAGAACGGTTCCGGACCTGGGGGTGTCGACCCCACCGGGCGCGATGCTGCTCACGAAATCGTGTCGAATAGACGACACAACCGGTGGATTTCCATCTTTTTGCACACCCCTTTGAAGGTTCAGGTACCAGTCACAAGACGGGGTGCCTAAAAAAGAGGATCGGGTGCCGAACTTGTGTCACATCCACTCACTCACGGACGAAAAACCACCCGTCACCCCACTGTAACTCCTGGTATATTCATCAGTCTAGAGGTATCCAGTGACCTGAACTAGGACCCAACGCTACCTCAGGGTACCAGAACTACGATATAGTATATATATAGTCTATAGTTCGGGTTCTTCAACCTCTGTTGGTTCATAAACATTGGGTGTTCTTTGAGTGTCTGGTGAAGGCCCACGGTGGGCCGGTGCCCCGTGATGAGGGCTCCGTCACAAGGGGGAGCTCGCTGGTCCCACGGGGCGGGGGGAGCACAAGACCCAGCGAAAACAAAGCAGAAACGGAAGATGCTGGGGAGTTTTGCATCATGACACATTGGTTTCTGCTTGGTAAACCAAGCAGTTCCAGGCTTTTGGGGTGATGGGCGCAAGGTAGAAGTAACTGCCCGGTCTCCTTAGGAGTCGGAGGCTGAGGGCCAATGTACCGGCGGCAACGCCCCTGTCGGTCGTAGCCGGTGGGCCAGGTATGCAAGAAGATGTTCCGCAACAAGGGCACCACCAACAAGAGGAAGAAGGGCATCGAGAAGAAGCCATGCACGAACTTCACAAAGTTCATCATCGACATGATCTGAAGTGAAATCAGATCCCAATCCTTTTGAGCCAGCACGCCCAGAATCGCACCAATGCCACCCAGTGAAAGCACAAGGTCCTTAGTAGTATCTTGCTTTGTCAAAAAAGGAAGGAAGGAATCCCAAACGGGAAGGATTGTTACCATTCATGAACATGTTTCGAAGTGGACTTGAGAACTTAAGGATTCACCTTCCAGGGGAAATAAGAAATCGCTCATCACATCCATGAGTCAAAGACCAGCAGGTAGATCATGTTTCCACCGATCCTGCTTTTCCTCCCTTCAAAGGGATCATTGGGGGGTCTCTGCCGACGAGCGCGACAAAGCAAGAAGAAACTGAACCAAACCAGAAGGAGTCGAAGGACGTAGCCAATGAAGTCCATGTACAAACCAACCTGGCAGGTCTTTCTTTCTGCCAAGGCTGCCAAGAATCTCTCGGGATGGCCAAACACACTTCTGCAACTTTGACTGCTGCAAGTAGGGAATGAGGGTGGCTGGATCCTATATAGCCCCTCATTGTCCCTCAAGATCCATATAGAGGGTCAAACACCCTCATATATTCCCTCCTTCGTCGTACGGAAACATCTTCCAACCGTGTAAAGATTCATGACATCTCCAGACTCGGGGGGGCGTTTCCCAGCACTCCGAACGGAGAAAAAAACAGCTAAGACCCCGTTCCAACCTGACCTGCGACATGTGGACATGTCATCAGACTTGGGAACGGAACCTCCTCGTCATGATGTGTTCAAGGCGTCGACCGGTTCCTTTGACCACACCACAAGGGTTCGACGGTTCCCGCGCCTCCTGAAACGTCGACGGCAGAATGGTGTCCTTGGATGAGCAGCGAGGAACCCCCGCAGCTATAACATGTTATAAAACGTGTATTCCCCAGTTCGGGAAGAGACCAATTCATCATTCAGCAAAAGTCAACCTAGCAGGAAACAACTCTTCTCGGCTCTGGGATTCAGTTCGGCAACAAAAAACATCTGAGCGATCGCCCAAACCAGGTATCTGCAAGACAATCTTTGCCATCCTGCACGCACACGAAGAGCTCTATGTACCTGGTGGGCCACCAGATACAGGGAACTGTTCTTTTCTGCGAAAAAGCACATAAAACGCACGGGAGCGGTTTCCTTTGTTCTCTTGGGTGCTTTTGCAGAAATATGTGTCTTAATAAGACCAATGACGATAGGATATTGTATCGGGTGCACTCCAAGTGCACGAAAAATGTGCAATTAAAACAGGGAGACCGACCGTCGGCGTTCCGAGCTCCTGGCTGCGGTGAAGAGAGTAATTGACCAGTCGGGGCCCCGTGTTGGTCGGGGTTAATACGACACCAGAAATGCCCTCTTAAAATCTATTTTCCGATCCTTAAAATCAGGTCATTCCCCAAATCAGAAAATTCCCCGAATCTCCCCTAATGAGTCAGGTCATTCGTCTTTGACTCCCTGGTGGCTCCACACCGCTCCGCGCGCCGCGCCGCTGGACTCGGCTCACCGGATGTAGACGGCCAGGAGCCCATCGGAGGGAAATTGCATGCCACGCACCTTGGGACGGACAGCGGCAGCGGAGCACCGATGGATGTACCTGGTCGACCATCGACCGATACTGGATTGGATGGGCGGCCGATGTATGCTGGGACATGGAGGGACATGTCTTGTTTTGTGTTTTCTCAGAAGTGTAGAAACACGGATTGTATATGTCGATCATCATGAATGTAAGCAAGCGTCCTGCACGATGAAGAAAAGCATCTGGAACTCGTCAGTCTTGTCGATCATGAAGAAGATCAGGAAGAACATGTAAGGTGCAATGCTGAACAAAGGAAACAAGGCTATAAGAAAGCCTTGGTTGCTTTGTTTCAATCTCACCGTCACCACACAGCGGAAAATGGATTATACTACTACTAGCTAGACAAACTAAAACTTATAATACCCTAGAAGTCCAGTTGGACTATATTTTGATCGATTGAAGTAAGGCATATTCCTTGACTCGGGTCACCTAAAGACCATTCTTTTGATAGTCTTTGACTCCCAGGGTATAGTTATAAACTATGACTATAGGTCTTGTGTCCAGTTTCTGGGTCCCAAAAGCTTGGCGAGTTTGTTTGACTGACACCTTTGAAGAAAGCCACATGAAAAGACCACGCCGAGGAGCAGAGCAAGAATAAGGGATCCTGAAAGACACCCGGGAGTCCTCGATCATACGGATAAAGATGATAACGCACGAAGTTCACCTCAGACCGATGACGACGATGACTAGGCGGTCGACGGTCTCTCCTTCGACGCACGAAGTTCACCTCAACCAGTGGAAGAGCAGTGGTTCGTTCAGAATCATGAAAGAACCGAGCTCGACATGTCTGCAATTGGTAAAAACAAAACACACAAAAGGTTGTATTATGTCTGTCTCCTATAAACTAAGACCATTAGATGATTCTTCAGAAGAGTCTTCACACCAAAAGGGGAGAAAAAGAAGGAGGACAGCAACCCCACGCAGAAGACTTCATTTCCAGGGCACACAACAGCAGCACACTGGGGCGCCTGGGTCTTCCGCCTCACCGAACGTCGTTTCCTGGCACATTCGCAGGTCGCGGCGTGTTTGGATGGTCATCCATGGTCAATGAAATGCTGTTGCCTCATGCTGAGTATACACTGCAATAATACAATTATATACTATGTACATGTCACACATGTACTGCTCAAATCTTCACATGGTATGACGTTCTCAATTACGTTCTCTAGTCCGTGGGTGCGACTGGGTTCGCACCCAAAAAAAGAAAAAACAGTGACATGGTGACAATTTGCTTCATAACTTGGTCTGTCTCATCCGTTGTTTCTCAGACTCACTCCGCCGTCGTTTCTGCAGAACGAACGATCCGTCTGCGCCTCAATCTCCCGAATGATCTCTTCTTCCACATTGTGCCAGACAATGTCAATGGCATCATCCTTCATGTCTTTGCCAAACTTCGGCAGATCCTGGTCGTCCGTGGCTTGCTTGATGATCTTGGGCACGTTCTTCAGAAGAGCCTTTAGAGTCATCCTCAACTTCTCTTCCAGAAAGCCCTTCACCACCAGCATTCCTCGCCGAAACGGCCGTCAGACCGTTCCCCCGGCCCACGAGCCGGGAAGAAGACCTCCGTTCGAGTTCACTCCCAGGGTGTCCCCTTCTGTAAAAAGGGGCACAAAACGTGGTGTTTGTAGGGTCAAATCCTTAAGTTGATTCGGTATGACCAGCCTATGAAATTCATGGTGGGCTTCCAGGAAGCCTAGGGCTAGTAACAAAGGGCATTACTACTGTAGCTCCTGGCATGACGTAGCAAGAAGCCATGCAACAACTGTTCCTCTGGGATGTGAATGTCGAGTAGGCCGCCGTAACCCTTTCAGAACTCAACCTTTCAACCAAAAAAAGCGGAAGCCCTATAGTCTGAGACACATCCTCTTCACATCTCTTCACATCTCCCACGTTCGAAAATGTTCAACACCCCCCAAAGTTTCACCAGGGGTGGTGTGGCTCGTCCCATCCAGGGGCCGTGGATGTGACAGACTGCACCGGGCACCTCCTTCCTCCGGAACCGGAGCGACTCCAACTCCATGTGACTGCTGGAAGAGGCTCCAACTCCAACCGGACAGGCACCCAATGCTTCGAAGTGGGAAGTTCTGTTGACCAAAAACTTTGGCCCAGACGCTCATGGGCTCTCATATGGAAGGGTCGGACCCTCATATGGAGGGGTCTGGGGTCTCAAATCCCTAGGTTTTGAGGGACCAAGGGCTGTTTGGATCGTCTGGGGGGGTCGACAATCAGGTCGTCCGCCCCAAAACTCGCGGACGAAGTGGGGCGTTTGCTTGAACTCGCCCAATGGATGGACGGAGCGGGAGTCGACACCGGACGGATACGACCCCACTGGACTATCCAAAGCGTCACCTGAACCAGGGAACCATGTACATCCAAGCACACTCAATCCTTGACATGCCAGCATTAACAGACGTGCCAGCATTCATTACGGAAATGGACGACCTGACACAGCAAGGCTGCAATGACAACACACAGCGTTAAAGATAATGTTTTAAAGATGCTCGCTTGAAACGCATGTTCGATACATTCCTTTAACCTTTTTTGGTGTTCAGAGACGCTACTAGACTGGTTCATGATACCCCATTCCTTGAAACTAAAGCAAGTGTGACTTCATCGACGTGGTGACAAAGGGCGGGGGTGATTGATACACCATATGGATCACCATGAACATCAACAATATATGTCCCATAGCACAGTGGGGCACGGAACAGAACTTCAGGCGGCAGTCGACCTAGATTCAAAAACGCGGCCAAGTTCTAAGCCATGGACATATGGCCTACCTGGATCTTCCAACTGGTGCTAAATGTCTGCCCTTTCATCTATAGAACCAGCTCTCAGTTCGGCCCAAAAAATACCATAGTTGGAAGACCCAGGCAAACCAGGCCCAGCCACGAGCAAGTTTACCCCCGCAATGGATGTTGACCAGTGGGGATCACTACAATCCAGTAAGAGGGGATAAAAAGTTTGTATACCAGTGGCCCTCAAACCCGTGAAAAAAATAGAGGACACCCATGTCTTTTGCAAGGGAAAACCCACATCTTTGATGCTTTCTAGGGCCCATCAGGTGAACTAATCGCTATTAATCCTAGCGCCCGAAGGCACCGAAAGGCATCGAAGGTCGAAGACGATGATCCCAAGGTTCCGTGTTCCGAGGCGGCCTCCAGATCGTGCGCCACACTCTCGACGACGTCTTCCGCCTTCTCCACCACGGTCTCGATGGCCTAAATGTCAATCCACCACGGTCACCACGGCTGGGAGATGAGGGGAGACCAGTGGAGAAACACATCTACCAATCTACCACTGACTAGGTATATATATATATACCCTCAAAAAAAAGGGGCAACCACATGCAACTACCGAGAAAAACAGAGCAAGACCTACTTGTGGATCTCTCCGAGAGAAAGAAAAAATGAAACAAACCAAGAACAACAATCCGTCAAAGCACTTCGTCCATAGCTTTCTCAATGAGCTTTAAGGTATGCATTGTATACATATTCTCAGAGCTCAGGGCGAGCTACTTGGGCTGCATCTTGCACCACCTCGGCGAGATTCTCTTCCACCTTTTTCACCTCCTCTTCGACCGCATCGCAGCAACTACACGCCATGGCGCAGCGGGAACCGCGGCCGCGGTGCTTCGTTGGCGACAAGAGGCTGACTGGAGAGACCGGTGGCGCCATGGTTTGGTTCCCAAACCCGAACACAGGATCCACAGGATCCAGGCTGTGGGCAGGGGTCAAAATCCACCTTGGTAACGAAGAACATTCTTCAGATGCCTTCGATCATGTACCTGGACCCTCTGTTCCATCGGTATTTCCTGGTGACAAGTGCCAGGTCTCATGGTGTCTAGAAACCACCTCTTAGTGTCCTGACACCACCTGCTGCAAAGTCCTGTAATATCCTGGCAACAAAACATGAGTGGCTCTTAAGGAATCCAAGCCCCCAGACATGGAGTGTAAAACCATGTAAAGCCTCATGATTCTGGGGTGAAATATCACCATCAAGAGTTGACTCCAAGCTGAGTTGATATTTCCGCACGATCGATCCCATCCAGTTCCGCCGCCTTCGCCCCGTTTCACGCCCCCGTACGTGCGTGTGTCGCGGCGGTGTCCATCGACGGATTAGACGTCCATCCCACTGAAATCCACCGAAATCGCCGTCCAAAAAACATACAACAAACTGCGGCAAAAAGAAACTTAAAAACACATACGGTCGAAATCACCTCTTGACTAAGAGATACTATAACCCTAAGAAGTCCAAAGACTATATTTTGACCGGCTAAAATAAAGGAACTTCCCTTTCAGGTCCCCTAGTCAGACCATTCTTTTTATAGTCTTTGACTCCCAGGGATAAGAGATAGTATTGCATACAATCTTGCGTGCAGCTCGGAGACCTGGACCGTCTGGACCCAATTTTTGCACTCTACGGCGTGTCTACGTGAGGATGGTCCTACGTGTCGCAACACGACGGAATTCATCAGAATGTGGCACAAACTCTTGATCTTCAAACGTGATCGCACAAGTATGCAAAAGTGCCCACAGACCTCCGTGCACACAAGCGGAACTCATTATTGAACTAGGCCTTTCAAATCCAAATACCTGAGAACTAGGCCGCTGGGACGGCTACCGCGAAAGCACCTCGTCTTTCAAGTCTGAAAAAGTTAACGCATCAAATACCAAACAGATCCAAACAGAATGGACCAACATGGGGACGGGGTGTTTTTCCCTGTCCACCACATCCACAAGCTGATTCTATGTAACCCTCCACATGATGCGCTCACACCGTCCGCATCGTCCGCATCGTTCCCCATCACCAACTCAGCGGAGTCATCGCCTGACTCGTCTCACTCGTCACGGAGTTGACAGACACCACAGACAGCCACCACCGACTCTCGCGCCCAACAACCCACAGCTGTCCCTCTCCCCCCCAACACACTTTCCGAGGACGGAACGAAGCTCGAGACCTGGACGAGATTCCGCTCTAGCGGTGTTTTGGTGTCGCCAAGGGCGGGCAAAGCCCCAAGCAAGGCCCATCCCGACGGTGTCGGCACGGATTCCGAACCATGGCAAAAGACGGGTGTGGTGTCAGCCGCGGCAGATGTCTCCACGGTCGATGCACCGGAATCTCTGGGAACATCGGGGGCGGCAGACTGGTGTTGATCCGTTCCTGGTCATGACAGTCTGCCGACCTCCTTTCCAACCCAAGCCGCCCCGATGCGCATGGCGTGCCGTGCCTCCTGGAGCAGTCCCATCACACGCAGAGTCCTCCCTGCGAGGACAGGCAGCGACATCCAATGCCTCGAGGCCGGAAGGTTCAGCTTTCAGATTCTAGAGGGAACCAAGGTTCTGCATGTGCTGACTGTGGGAACTGCAGAACTCAAGCGAACTGCAGAACTCAGGTGGAATGCAGGGTGTTGTTGTTACTGCACAAATAAGCAACACGTGAAGTCACATTTAGGCATGCATGCATCTGCTCAATCGTCCAAGTGTTTCTTGGCACAGAAACCTGCCCTTTCTTCTGTCTGCGGAGCGCGACCTAAACCTCCGGCGGACGGAAAACGGATGAAAACGGGGCCCAGAGACCATGAGACCTGGAAGGATGAGTCCGAGCTCGGTGTTGGCGTCGCCCTTCCTCCCCCCTCTTTGGACTGACCGCAGTTGACCGGTCAACCAGCGCACCGGGACAGGGTCAACCCTCGATGATCTGAGACTCCGACCCGCGCCATTTGGTCGTGCGCCACAGGAGTGAAAAAGCTAGCAGCGCAGCGGGGCGGATATGAATTCCTCCCTTTCAGAAAAAGGGCGATTCAGAAGTCATGTCCTGTCTCGAATTCTGAGCCAATTGATTTCGGTGTTCTCCAGATGATCCATTCAGCGAACGTCACGTGATTTTTGCCTCGGCATGACTCAGCTGGCACATGTCGGGTCGGTACGGAAAGGAGAAGACGCTCCCCGCTTCACGCCGCTTCATGTTGTGGTTCGATGTGAAGCAAACCCGCGAAGCAGGGCTGACTCGAAGCAAACCTGGATCTGTGAACACCTGCAAACTATATATATAAGCGATATGTCATATATGATATCACATGACATAGATCCCACCCATAACTCCTTGTAGTGTGTTTAGATATCCTGGAAGCTCTATCCCTTGGAAGCAATGTGTGCCCAAAGAGAATTCAGTCAGCGAAGTCTGACCGGAGCCCGGTGGAGCCCGGTCGACCGTGGACGGGTGAGAACGAGAAGCGGGAGCTAAAACAGGTCCAGTCCACGCGTCCTTGGACGCGTCAAATTGGTCATCTGAATATTCTGTTCAAACGTCTATATCATGTTCTATATATTGGCGATGTTTGTTGTAATTCTTCTGTACGATGCTCGTTACTGATGCTCTACATGTAATTTGTCAAGCCCACGTGTACCGATAAATATGAATTATATTGAATTATAGCTTTCATAATATATATTTATCTAACAAACTTTAAACTTTAAGATTTCATGGTCTGATTATTCTTTGAATAATCTCTTTTCCGGAGATTTTTCCTGCAGGATTCTTCATTTTTTGCCTGGGCAGTCAAGCTACGCTTCAGAACCAGCAGCCGGGCGTTCAACAAGACTGACCAAAACAGACCAAAACACTGAGCTTCCGGCTTTTCGCCTGGCACCGCGCAGTGGAAGCGCCACGCTATGCAAGATCATCACTTCGGGTCAGTTTGTGTGTGGTTGTGTGTGACTCCGTTCAACCGTCCGAAAATGATTTCTACGTTCGGGGCTCCTGGCCTTACTAGGAGCGATCTGACGCTACTAGAGTATATTATCAGTATATTCTCACGGTTACCACCCAGAGCGTGGTGGTCCGCCCGAAATGGTTTTTTTGGCATAGCTCCCTACTCCACCAGGCCACTGCCTTGCTTTTGGCTGCTGGCCGCTCTTCCTTCAGCGTCTTCACAAAGGGAAAGAATTCCTGGCCGGTCTTCACATGTCGTTGCTTCACATGGAAGGCGCCTTTCCGGCACGTCTTATCGGTCCGTGCGGGCAAGAGTGTCATTCTCTAGGGTAGAGGGTGTCTACCCTAGCCTTCAAAGATACCGGGTGGTCCGGTGTTAGTGTAAAACAATGTAAAGCCACTGCTTGCGCTATTGGGATTCAGACCAGAAAAGCATACGTGGTTGGAGGCCATCGTTATTGGGTTGGAGGCCATTACTACTATAGGAGCAAGGACGCTACTAGTAGGTGTTTGAAGCTACTAGTAACAACAAGCTTTTTAGTATGTCTTTGAAGCTTTTAGATTAACTAGAAGCTACTATAGGTTGGACGCCATGGCTATTAGGTCCTCCATTGCATGCGATGTTCGAGCTACATTTCTTCGCTGGTCCTGACCGAGGAGGAAGGGCACCAAAGCACGAGGCACCTGGCGAACCGAACGCTCATCAGACCGGCGCGGCGATTGGAACACAGAACGTCGCAAGCATGGGCGAGGAATAGATTCTATATACCTAGCACTTCCTGGGCCTGGGGCCCTGGAGTAGGAGACCTGTAGTAAGTAGGGTAGGGTAGTCGAACGCCAGGACACCCAGACAGGATGATCCTGGTAGATGGAACAGATTCTATCCAATACACTCCCTTAAGCAGTGGTTGTTAACAATTGTTTCTGTGTTCTGAGTTAGCACCAGCTTTGCGGCTGGATTTGAGAAATGTCCTCCCAACTATAGTCGCTATAGCAGGATAACAAAAAAATCCAGAAGTAGTTCTGACACGTTCAACTGTTCACATGTTGCATCAGGTGGAGGGGCACCCGTACTCCATCCTCTTCTTGATAGTTTTCCACCACGCAGCACATCGCTCTCTCCTCAGCATCACGTCTCCAACCAGCATTGGCCCCACGGCGACGCGGGAAACCATTGGCCAACGTGGTTTGCCCACTTGGCCCACGGCAGTGGCGCAAAGCGTGCTATTCAGCATGTGGCAAAACCTCGTTCAGGGGAGAGATCACTGTGTTTGAGCAAGCGTGGATCGCTGTCTTACTTACTGACTCCACATGGGGCGTCTTGAAAAAGGCGCCATGTGCCAACCACTCAAGACATCTCAATACTGCTCGGATCAGAAAATCATGACTGCCATGTGCCTAATTCTGTGAGTTCTTCCACCTTTCCGGCCGTCTTCTTCGCTCCGGTTTCTTCCCACTCGCTTCACCTTCCGTTCGCTGTTCCACCGGCGCCCGGACGGATCCTCTGGTCTGAAGCCGAACTTGGTTTGCATCGCACGTGCCTCGCCGCGGTCCGCGGTTCACCCGCCGGGTCCGATCCGACGCGTCCGATCCGACGTCCGGATGCGGAGCGGTGGGGCGATGAAGAGAGGAAGTGACACGGACCGTGGTCGGCGGTGGCGATAGAACGTGATGTTTGAAGCGACATGTGATAGAAGCGTGATTCATGGAAGTGTTCAACAAAGTGGAACATAGTGGAACCGTTCAAAATACCATTGGTGTGATATGTTGCACTCAATTTTTGAGAATCACCACTCCATGGCCCGCCTGATAGTCTGTACAGTTCGAGCACGAGACCAACTCCCTGTACCTCAGATGCTCCAGACCGACCAACTCCCATTCACCAGAACTTCTGTTTTGACTCATTGAACTACCCCACCGGGCAGTCATGATCCACCACCTGGAAACCCAGTCAGCATGCAGAAAAATGTCTCGATGTATCCCCAAACAGCCACCGTTTCCTTGTAAAGAATCTCGGCGTCATGTGGCGTTCCAACCAGAACTGTTCCGGGCGTCATTGGCCGTCGGAATTCGATCGAGTGTGGTGGGGAGACTCCGTCGACGTGTGTTTTGCTTTGTTCCCCCGACCGTCGTTATCGACCTCAACTCGGACCGACGGACCTCGTCGTCACGACTCTGAGGCCGTGGCTTGCCTTTGCCTTCCGCATCACCGGGGAACCAACCTTCCAAGTCATACCTGCCAAAAGAATCCCACGATCAGAACCCGACGCGAACCAGCCGGCGGTGGGTCAATTTCCAGCGGCTTCCTCAACCTTCTTCGACGCGGTTCACCGCGCGTGTCAACCTTCTTCGAACGGCGAGTTCGGGGAAGTGAACGGCGCGTTGGAAATCGCTGAGCCGAAGAAAGAGACGAATTGCCCGCGCCAGTGGAGTGGAAATCAGCCGAAAGCCAGTGAAGAGAGTGGAATCGTGCCCAGGAGGAAGTCTCTTTGTCGCTTTTTCCAACCTAGCTTCCTTGCAGCTATAGATGTTCGGAATATAATATCAACAATTTCTGAATCTGGGCCCTCAAATCGAAAGGGTTTGGTTTGGGCCCAAACCTCTGCAAAAGTGTCCGTCTGCTGAGGGTCCGAGGTTTATCCGGGCAGAAGACAGGACAGGACACCCGCCATTTCCCTGAAAACCGGCAACTCATCCACCCACCTCAATCGCCACATTCCTACCTTGTTCTTGCCACATGTGGCCACCTCCTCCGCCGTTCCGCGCTCCGCGCGGACCCGCGTCGCGTGTTGGTTTCGTCGCACTTCTTGGCCGCGGCGTTGTTCAGCTCACCGGAGACGATGGCCACCGTTCGGTAGGGAATGCCCAAGCTCTGGTAGAACTCCTCCGGATCTCATGGATATGGTTAAAGAGTTGACAGCGTTGATGGATTCCATCAGTTTGATGAGGAGTTGCAGGGTTTGTGTGGGTAGATGCCAGGTTACAATGGTCATTCTCCCACTTGCTCACAGTGCTAAAACGCGGTCAAACATAACCGGTCCTTTTTTGCTGTGCCAGCGCACATTGACGGTGTAGTAAACTGATGAAGATCCCACATGTGGAGGTTTGTCCGAAAAAACGGACATGCCTTCCCCCGTGGACTGGATATGCCATCTCGATCCACTCACGCCGAAAACGTGACTGAGAATGAGTGTTCTTGCTGAATGCATTTGGGATTGCCAAATTTTCTAGACCTGGTTCCAAAAACCAGAGTTGCACCATGAACAGAGTTTACCTAGCATGTCAGAGTGGCAAACTTGGCATGCCAAGACCTTCCTGAGATGGCCTCCAAGTAGGGACCGTCAAAAGCACGGCACTCTTCGCGGACTTAGCAAACTTGTGTCGCTCTACACTGCAAATGATCTGCACAATGACAAGCGCCGTAGAGAATAGCAGCACCGTATGCAAAACGGCGGCAACTTTACAAAAAGAAATACATTGGCTGAACCGTTAGATGAAGCAACGGGTGAATTCGCGAGCGCTCTGCCAAGTAGTCAAAATTGCAGGCAGAGCGCAGCGCATTGACAACTCAATCCGTCTCCAGCTGAAGAGTCACCAGCTCACGTTGGTGCCAGGCAACAAAAGCTTCGCGTAACAATTACCATCAAGGTGGCAAAGGCACTGCATCCCTTCACCAATGGACAGCAAGCCTCTGCTATTCCTAGGCGGAAATCGATGTGAAATGAGCATTCTGGGTAAAGAAAGGCAAAACATTGCACTAGCTTGAAGTTTGTGGTATGAGTATGAGTCATTCTGAGTCCCTATGAGGCTCTTCCTGCTCCTTTTTATTGTTTCTTTCTTCGGACCTTTCTTCCGATTTTTCTGTTCTTGTCTGTCTATGTCTCTCTGACCTTTCGTTGAGTCACCATAAGTCACTACGAGTCCTCATCAACTATATACGTCGATCTTTGTTCATGTCGATTGTTGTCGTTGTCGTTGTTGTTGTTGTTGTTGGTGGTGCTGCTGCTGCTGCTGGTGCTGGTGTTGTTGTTGCTGTTGTTAAAATGTTTCAACAAGCGACAACACGGCCGCATCCAGGCGGGTGAGGCTATGGTCTGGCACCATACTTTTCAAAGAAAATGACCCACAAACGAGCGAGATGACACACATGAGCTGAGTGTCCTGTAGGCGTACATCGCGTAGACGAAAGCAAACAAGATGGTCAAGAACAAGAAAACATAGGGCCCCCGTCGCGTGCACATGTCGCTGCCCACATCTGCAGTAAGCACATCGCAACGATCCATGACATGTCGCTGGAAGGAATGTCCCAGCATCGCGAAATGGATCATGTTGTCCACCTGACCGAGAGAAATTCAACGGTTGACTCTTCAAGAGCCACCATCAAGCGGAATCGTGGGAACCACGTCGTTTTCAGCGTCGTTTTCACCCAACACACGGAACGATTGGAGAGAGTGCTCCCATCCGTTCCTCGACCCTTCGACTCGACCCCCACGTCGCGAACAGGCCTCGTTTGGGCCAAGTCCCGTGGGGTCAAGGCCCGAAAAGAGAAACAATAAAGACATCCCATTGCCCTACAGGTCAAGGTCCACATGCTACTGCTAGCAAAAACAGTACACAATGAGGTCAGTCAGACCAGGTTTCACTTGGTCGTTGGACTGCTAGGGATGGGTGTTGACCGAAGACCACTGAGAGATGGGCATGTTTGGTCTGTCCGAAAGAATCGTGTTAGCAACAAAGAACGAAGAGGAATCAAACACGATCACTTGAGAATACGACAAACCAAAATGCAAATTAAAATCATACAATTTTAAGGTGTTTTGATGGGTTCTTTAAAAAAGCACTTGGCATCATTTGGCATTGTTCAACGGTTGCGGCTTCAGTCCATTGAAAAGTTCTGGCGCCTCAATGAGAAAACCCAAGGCGGTACTGTTCAGGATCAGGTCCTGTAAGTTGCTGGTGATCGTCAAGAAGACCAAACCTACATAGAGGACCACGACAGCAATCAACGACCTGTCGTGAAGCAATCGGAAGCAGTTTGGTTCGCGAAAACGCCAAGAGCTTGCAAGGGGTTGCAAATAGAAATGAATATTCCTCAACGTTTCTCTCCGCCACTTCATCTGTTTGGGCGATGGGTGGCTGAAAAGGTGGACTTATTTACGGTGTATAGAGCAGGTGCGAAGACCCTTTGGCCAAGAGGTGAACCGGCATTGGATCTTGAAAGCATTCAACATATACATATATATTATATATATATATTAAAAAAATTACACCTGGGAAATTTAACATGGAACCTGAAAATGGACCTTTGGAAGACGATTTTCCTCTACAACCCAGTGGTTTTCAGGTTCATGCTAATTTTGTCGGGCGTATTCCATTAATTATACTCCTATACTAGAAACCAAAAGGAGTTAAGCGCTAGAACTCCATATTACGCCCTACAGAAAGAGAGGAAACTCCATTACGGATCACCTGAAGATCATGTTTGAAGTCTTGGACTCCCACTAGATTTCAAGTCAGCCAAATGAACCTGATCAGATTCAAACTCGCTTTTCCCGGACCGCCGCCACTCTTTCTGGCTTTAGCGCGGCGTTAGTCGCACCTCATTGGGTAGTGCGGTGCCGTCCTCTGAACCTCTAAGTACACTGAAACTCCACCATCTGAACTCTAAGAACATCACAAGAAATACAAGCAACTTCAAGGGAAAGGATGGTTCATAACAGACGTGAAATGTTTGGATTCAAGAATTAAATTGGCCACATTCATGGCAAGATGGGCAAACCCACCAATTGATGCAAAACGGGCGGGCTCGGATTGAGCCGCTGTGTGGCTCAAGTGTTCGAATTTGTCCGCCGCTTCAGTCAGCGCTTGTGTGGCAAGCTTGACCCCTGCAAAGCACCCACTAGCTTCTGCCACTTGCAAATTGACAAACAGCAGGCCCCAGCAAACGCTCAAAAGCACTGTCAGCCGGAAAAGATGCCACAGCAGCACTCATAGTCCTGCTTCGCAGGCCGCCGCTGCAGCTGCTAGTCACTCGTTCCTGACCTTCTTCGCTGGCAGCCTGGTCTTCGGGTTGGGTTTTGCAGTGCGTTTTGGCTTTTGCGCAAGAGGCATGGTAGGAGCGTCCTGCTCAGCGTCTGGTGGCTCGGCGCTGGACTGGAGCTTGTCCGCGCAACTTGTTGTGGCCAGCGCCGCTGCTGCTGCTGCCGCCAATTCTGCGGCTTACTGTTTCTCTTGCAAAGCTAACAGTTGCTTTTGCAGGAGGAGTTCTTGCTCCTGCAAATTTAACACCATTTGGTCGGCAACTGACTGGCCGTGGGTGGCGCTGGGGGTAGGCACAGCCTCGCGTGTTGAGCACGCTGCTTTGTCTGGTTTGCTGCTGCCACCGGCCAAGCAAGCCATGATGCCAGCAGGGCCACTGCTTCTTCCTGCGCGTGCTGCTAGCACCTAGGACGGCAGCCCAAGTAGCTGAAGCCACTCCTGAGCACACTCCTTCGAAGGCGGATGTCGCCACTCCAGCACAAAGGTGGGTCAGGCGAGTCTCACGTGCTGGTTGGTCATGTTGGCGATGCCATACGCGGTCGGGGTGTTGGCTAGAATGCCAGTGTTGGTGCATGGGGTGCGTGCCACCGCCGCTGCTGCCACCCTTTGCCGTAACCACCTTTGCCCATTCTGGCCAGCTGGCTGACGCTTATGGACCAATGGAAGCACTGTGCCCGCAAGTGCAGAGAGCATACTGCAGGGTGGCACAGGCATGCCTGACTGCTTCTGGGAAATACCTACCACACTGCTAGGATTCTATGACGGGGTAACCATGTAAAGCCCAAATTTGCAGTTCGCATTCCACTGCCATTTTCATGTCCTCCGGTGTTAAGAGACTTCAAACGAGATAGTCGCCCATTCAGCACACCCATGTCCACCAAATCGACTCCTTGGAAAGGTATGACGCGAAACTTATATAGTGGGCCGACACACCACGCCATGGAGAGCCTGTGATCTCCACGCATGTTCAACACCATGAGCATGCGCGCAAAACCCAAATATCAAGCCATGGTGTGCCAAGCTCCTTGGCTTAGCAGCCTCAAATTGGACTGCCTTGTCATAGAACTGGCACACCATGATCTCAACGCAGGAAGAACACAAGACCGAGGATAGCATGGCCAAGTCATCAACATATCGCGTGGCAGCAACTACGCGTTCCAACTCGAGACCCGGCGGACACCAATGGGCAGAACTGCCGCTAGTCAGCCAATGGCCCTCACAAAATCCTAAGAGGATGGAAGCACACTGTTTGGACATACACCCTCCGATCGGCACACCACGACGCTGCTCATAGACAACGGGGCCAACACTGACACAAGTCTGCGACAAAGCACCTTCTGCGATGGCAAAAATGTCATCCCAGCGGTGCAATCGTGCTCCATGCGACAGTCGAAAAAACTCCTAGCAAGCAAAAAATGCAAACGGCGACTTGCTTCGTAACAACACCAAATGCACCTGAAGCAAGGCGGAGTTGGCGCACAATACGCGAAAGACGCCGCAAGACATCATCTCTGCCAATTTCTTCAAACAACTGCGCTGCGTCACCACCCAAGTGCACAGGGGAGCTATTTTTTATGTTTACAGTTGAAGCCACAAGTCACACACCCATGGTCATGGCGCAGTTTCTTGGCAGCGGTTCGCAAGTCCACAACGGCTGAAAACAAGCCGTTTGTTTCAAACCCGGATGCCCACAAACGGACTACCCCCTCTAGGGCCTTAGCATTGAGCTTGTACATCCAACGACAAGAGTGCGCAGCCCACTGAGACTGACAATCCTGCGACAGCATGCGTGGCTAGCCTTTGCGCATGCGCGGCCAACCCCGGTTTGGAAACACTTAGTCTTAAAGTGATATACATGTACGCAAGGCGCCATTTGCGCCAATGAGAAAGAGCGCAATATGATTGCAATTGCTGCGGCAGTCTGCGTACATGCGAAAAGCAGTAATCTCAACGATTTCCGAAACACTCCGCGGACGGCGCACACAATGTTCATAGTAATAGTCTTGGTTAACCGTACGAGCAAAAAGCTTGAAGTAAACTTCTGTGGGCATGGTCCAGCACGAAGCTTCTGGTACAGCAACATGCGCTTGGGGGTCCTCAACTTATCAATATAAGACAGGCGGAAGTCCGCGCCTGCATGCCTGGCGCGTCGCTGTGAGCCCATGCGCGGAGATGGCGTGGCCAGAATGAGTCCACAAGGCACGGAAGTTGTTTCAGCCAACCACGCACTGATGACTCAGCAATTCTGGCAGCACCCCCAGCTTTGGAAGAAAGGAGTTTTTCAGTAGTAATTATAGAGTTTCATGCGCAACCCGTCTTCACTGTTTATATCTAGTGCTTCAGGCGGCATGTCAAACAAATTGGTCTGCAACATAGCCCTGCACACAGCTATGTGTTTCCAAAGTCTAGTGTAGTTGGCACGCCAGGGGCTAACTGCTTGGACTGTCTTTACTATCCAATTGGCCAACAAGGGGGAGTTCTTCTCAACAGGCACAAGCGGATATCACGCAAGCAACTTTTCAAAACATGCCGCGGCATGGTGGTGGGCCAACGCGTACCTGGCAGGTCGTGCTGACGGAGCCAGCGGTCGGAAGCTCTAATTCCTTTGGCTCTAGCGTACCCGTTTTTGACCAAGCAACACTGACACGCCGACAATGGCTTCCACGCCTGGTGGCTCATCCTGGTCCAGCAAATGTTGTCTGGGCTACTCAAATAGCACGCAAGCAAAGACCGGCTGCGGTGAGCTCGCAGATCGAGTGGCCCACCCTGACCTGTCGGTGTTTGCAAACATGCCAGTACGCAGTCTCAAACTTCATGTTGAAAGCTTGCTTCACGTACCATGCATCAGCATTCACTTCAACACATCTATTTGCACGCCAAACTGGTTTGGCAGCCAGGGGGGTCACGAAGAGAAGGCGTTCTGCTGGCTGCATACTTGTGCTCATCCGGAATCGAGGGGGAGGTCTTCGGGCGCAACGCCGTCTAGCTCGACTGCGCTCCCTTGGTGCACATGCTGGCGCTTTGATAGACTGACTATGCCAGTGACCAACCCGAAGGAAGCTGTGTTCGAGAGCACGGGTCATGGGTAGCTCAACAACAGCAACCACCCAAACGCAAAGGTCACCCAAATCAGTGTTTTTGAAGGCGAGTGTCTTCCTGAGGTATTTGGCATAGCTGGCAGCTCTTTTTACTGACCTGATTTCCTGCAAGTGTTCATAGTACCTTGCCATAGGGAACCGCATTGCGCACTGCCATGTTTTCCGGTTGCAGTCAGCGCTGCCCAAGTAGCATTGGCGAACAGAACATAGCAAATACAAGCAGGCCTACCAAGCTTACATAGAAACTGCAGTGACCAGAAATTAACAACAGTACGCACGCCAGCGTCCGACAAAGGACCAAGCTGAAACAAAGCGAGCTGCAAGTCCGGGCGCACAGACTGCAAACGCTGTTGGGCCCAAGCTCTCCTACACCGACCACTGGTTGCTTGCCAACGTGTGTGGAGCAACATGCGAATGCGACCGATGACATGTACCAGGTGGTCAAACTGCAAGTTGGTCTTACATTTGGTCTTGGCTTTCGATGGAAACATCCAGTCCGCCATGGCACGTTACCATTCCCAGCTGGTGGGACAGGCTTGTGGCCTGTTCGGTGTCACTGCAAGCGATCACACACAACACAGCACAACGGAAAGCGCAAGCGTCAACAGTCAGGTCAAGCAAATTTGTGGGCACATTCATGTAGGCCAGGAATATCTGAGTCACATGTTCGACCTCCTGTGTGGGCAGGGGCACCCGGTCTGCCCATGCATGTACTCGTTCTAGTATCAAGTCTTGGGTCAAGTCCTGGCAGTCAAGCAAACACTCACGCCGTCGGGTAGACAAGGTCGCGAACTGTGTACGTTGTTGCTGCGGACTGTGCTTAGGTCTTTCTGCCCAGAGAGCGCAGTCCTTTTGAGCAACATGTTGCAAGCACAAGAACCACCGACAAGCACAAGGCCAATTAGCTGTCTGATAGCTCGGACCCCGCATGCAAAAATCATCACGAGATTGCGAGCAACTTTCCTACGGGCACGTCTGCGCAGGAACCGCCATGGTGGTCGGCAACCCCGGTGTACCGATATGGCACTATCTCTTTGTCCAAGAGGTTTTCCTGTCGGGAAAATAGGCTTAGCTCAAGAGGTGGGTTGCTTTTTGTTTTTTTTTCGCTTGTGGGTTTATGGAGGGTGAGGTATATGGTAAGCAGGTATGAGGTCAAAAGCTGGTATGGAGCAAGCTGCCAGCGTGCTTGGGGTTAGGCTGCTAGCCTATAGCGCTCACGTGCAAGAGGTTCAGGTGGACAAACAGCAAAAAGCAAGATCGAAGTGGACGACGTGTGACGCCGTGACCGTGACCACAGCTCGCAAGGACGGTCCGGACTGCCACACGATCACAATGGAGATTTCAAGTTAGCCAAATGAACCTGATCAGATTCAAACTCGCTTTTCCCAGACCGCCGCCACTCTTTCTGGCTTTAGCGCGGCGTTAGTCGCACCTCATTGGGTAGTGCGGTGCAGTCTTCTGAACCTCTAACTGCAGTACACTGAAACTCCACCATCTGAACTCTAAGAACATCACAAGAAATACAAGCAACTTCAAGGGAAAGGATGGTTCATAACAGACGGGACATGTTTGGATTCAAGCATCAAATTGGCCATGTTCATGGCAAGATGGGCAAACAAACAACAAACAAACTGTACAAAAAAGACATAGGGCTCGACGGTGATATTTCACTAGAGTCACTAGAACTATACCCGGCTCGGACATGTGTGGGTACTTGCGACAAAAGTCTGGGAGTCTAGATCTGCCCTGCGCCACACCGCGAAGTCGTGTTCTTCTGGGGAAGGGGAAGCGAAGTCTGGAAAGTCACTGTTTCGGCTTCATTTGTGCGCTTGAAGGTGGCTTTTGGGACTTTGCCTCCAAGGGCTTCGGTCGGATTTGGGCAAGTGAATGCCTCTCAGCAAACGTGTCTGCACCCCATCCCTCTTGCGTTGATCCAGTGCAATGACGTTGGAAGATGGATTGCAGCAAACATGGCTTCACAGTTTCAGTCGTGACACAAGCATTGAACTGTCGAAATTCTTTCTGTGCGCAGAAGACGTTCCTCAAAAATGTCAAAACGGCATGTTTGTTTTTTCCCCAAATTGAGAAGATAGGACCGGGACAAGGTTGTCCAACTGGCCATTGTCAAGCTCGGCACATGCCATGACCAAAACATAGTTGGAAAGTTTCCGCAGGCAGCCACTGTATAAGGAACATCAGGGTTTCGGTCGGACTATGGTTTTAGTCTTTGGAACCACGGGTTAGCAGCTATAACTGTATACACTGGGATAGATGTTCGGTCATTTCCGTGGTGTATTTGTATCGTTCGGAAAGGTGTTTGTCAATTCTGGAATGCAACTGATGTGTTTAGACCACGGCGGGAGGCAACTTCGTCATCATGAATGTGCGCCAACAGGGAGGGCTTTTGTGTGACTTGTACCCTGATAGCAGCTTTTCGTGGTAGCATGTGGTAGCCACATCCTTCCAGACTCAGTGGGTGTGGAATGCAAACAACTACCATAATTGGTTGCCATGCTGTCACATGAGCCAATGGCTGTGCATAGAATTCAGACCTGCCTGGGGAGACAAATGCCCAGCAGCGCAAAGTACTTGTGTCCAATCGGCAGTTTCTTGATCTTGAAGCGGTGTGCTTCTGCATCATAGGAGGTAAACGTCGGGTCTTGGTCGTCCGTGAATGGCATGAACCAAATCCTTTGCGCCAGAGTTTAAGACAGGTTGAGCATGGAAACAAGAGGCACGGAATCCAAAGAAAGCCTCAGCATTGAAAGGACCGGGAGTTCCACCTAAGGTAAACGGGTATTATCACCAAGACCAAGGAGCACCAACGCAAGGTTGCAGATACTGCGCGCCTCTTTGATCATTATCATTACCCAAATCGACAGCAGCAAAACCAATAAGGACTCGAATGCGATGCCTCAGTCCCATCATGGCACCCGATCTCCGCCGGGCCCCGCAGAATGGATTGAACACGAGATCGAAGCAGCTTTCATCCAAAAGAAAAGGGGTTGAATGCCCATCTTCATGTGCGCACAGCAGCTTCACTCCTTTTCAATTCCAAAACGCTAGATCTTCAACGAGAAATTGAGAGTTCGATATCTCGATCGAAGCGAGCCCCGCCCATCTTGGATTTGCTCTTCAGGAGCCGGGGAAACTATATTCAACATTCCCCATATGACCAGCATCCACCCTTCCAAGCCACTCAGGATGGATTCGTCGTCACCCATATAGGTTGCCACCGCGCTGTATTCGACCTGGATCACCCCGAAGCGAACGCGAGTGAAGGAGGGCTTACCACAAAGACCGGCGCGTTGGTCATTCGCAAGCTTGTAGTCGGTTCCTGAGTTGGATCAAGGAATATCAAGGAGCCCAAAGACCCTCAAAGACCCAAAGGTGAATAGAGGGGCTCCTGGATGATCGGTCAGGTCCTATACAAATCCATTCAAATCCGATATAGAAGGTCGTTCTTGAATACGTGACACAATTCAAGAACGTATTCAAGAACGACCTTCTATATCGGATTTGAATGGATTTGTATAGGACCTGACCAGTCCGTGACCTGGACCTTGGTTCGTGACCTCTCCAGGGACTTGGACAAATCCTGGGATCTCAGTCCATCAGTTCAGATGACCAAACGCAAAACGACCCGACGGCATGCTCCTTCGCCGTTCACGGTCAAGCCCGCCGGGCTCCGCGGGGGGCCGTCCGATCTTTAGGCCGAAGCTCCAAAGACCTTCAGGCAGAAGGAATCGTAAGTCTCCTGGCACGCAAGGACTCGTTCTTCTTCGTTGTTGTAGCCCGGCAGCATCGTCGAAAGTTTTCCCTCAGCTTCCATGTTGCCACAGAGATTCCTCAAAACGGTTGAAAACTCACTTCGGAGGCAGGAACGAATGTTCATTCATGCTACTTCCACTATGATACTTCAATGTATTACATGTATGTACTGTTACTTTCTCAATCATGGTCTGGGAATGCAGTTAGAACATGAAGATAAGGCAACAAGAACTGCATGCAACCAATAGCTGCAAAATGAGTCTGCGACGGTGTGCTTTGCAAATTTTTTCCACGGCAAAGGGTTGTGGTTTATCGTTTGATGGCCACAGCGGTTGTTCTTGTGGTGTCCCCGTGCGATATTCTGTCTACGCCCATCTTCTGTCTGTGCTCGTGTGCACTGCGGCAGGTCGTCAGTGGTTCCAGATTAACCAAAATTCCTGAATTGATTGATGTCTATAAAAAATGCTCTAAGTGCCAAGTGCTAGATACCCCGTGCAATATTCCCTTTGAGCTCCTTTCTACCTCCGCCCGACACACCACCTGTTGGAGGCAAGCCCCAGCTGCACGGACGGAGGGGTTCCGGGGCTGTTCGTAAGCGTGTTTTTTGAGGTCGCTGGTGGGGTTCTGGTGAAATTTGCTGGTAGGAATGGAGCCTTGGTGAGCTGCTTTTTGGAAAGGGCGACAGCGCTGGGAGGCCTCGAGGTTCGCAGAAGCCAAGAGAGTGTCTTCATCAAGCTGCCCCGATCCAAAGAGCTGGGAAAATCACTTCAGGAAAAAAGATCCATCTCCCAGCCCACAGTTGGACCCAGTGCGGTCGAAGTCGGGCGAACTACAAGGGCAATTCTGCAAGGAATTGTTTTTCCCCATCTGTCAGGCAAGGGTTTTTAGATTTTATGTCAGCTGCCGTCGTCCTCCTCGTCCTCCTCCTCCGCCTCCTCTCAACCGCAAGTGCAGGATGGCAGTGTCCCCCGCCGGACCTCAGCCGCGAGCTTCGGCTGGCAGTGTTCCCCGCCGGACCTCAACCGCGAGTCAGAAGATACGCCAGATACAACGCCAGAAAGAATGTCAGAAGATATGCCAGAGAGAATGTCAGAAGATACGCAAGAGAGAATGCCATAAAGAATGTCAGAAAGAGAGTGTCAGAAGATATGCCAGAAAGAATGTCAGCAAATATGCCAGAAAAAATATCAGAAAGAATGTCAGAAGACATGCCAGAGAGAATGCCGAAATAATGTTTCAATACATGCCAGAAAATTTGTCAGATTGAAATGTCATGGTGAGGATCACTCGAAGTACAGTAAAGTATTGTTCCAAGGTTATCTTAAATTATCCCTGGGGGCCTACCAGCTCACTTGTAGAACCACCTACCGGCTTGGTCTGAGCGTCTTGTCAGTGATCACGCACGTTCGGATCTCATTTCGATAATGCTCAAAGAAGTCCTCGGCTGTGACACAAAGTCCTTGTCAAACTGAAGTCATAATGGTCTAACGAAAAAAGAACCGCGACCAACTCTCCCCCACTAGTCCCCACACCCATCCTGCAATTCTGCCTCTCTGCAAAATCAAAAAGTGGCTTAGTACCAAAGATCCATGTCCACATGGGCTGAAGCGCCTGCTATGAAGCTCCTGGAACCCGGTCGATGTTTCTTGTCATACTTCACCATCTCGCGCAAGCCTTGTGTCATATTCGTCGCTGCCTTGCTACCCAGCAGGGCGAGTTGGGTTTCGGTTTCGGCACACTCATGCGTCGACCAAAAGCCGTCCTTGTTCAGGTCCAACTTCTCTGGAAAGAGTGAAAGGGTTATTCTTTGCTGGAGGCAGTCAAAGTCAAAAGCATTGGAGTGATTGGAGACAAGGTGAGGTGGATAGAGCAGCCCCACATACTCCTGATGCTGTGAGACTCTCCAACAGGTGCCATCCATCAAGTCATCACCGATCTCTCCATAGGTTTGATACCCGGTCACATGAATCTGGACGCTGATGAGAAGTTGCAAGGCAGCGTTCACCACCAAGAAGATACCTGGCTGCGATTCACCATCTCCAGACTTTACTTGGAATATCTTGAAATGTTATGCTAGCGTTCACCACCAAGTACTTCTAGATCAGAACAACATGAAATGCTAGCCAAATGGCCGCCATCATTGGACTATGGTCGATTTGTCATCATTGCTCTCTCCTTCCTATTGTGAAAGCATGATAGTGCTCAAAATCCATCTATATTTGGGAGACTTTCGTGCAAGAATCTTCTGCCAAGACGCCCACCAAAATGTAATCCTGGAGCAATGGCCCAGTGTGATCACGCTGGTGGATAATTCGCTCTCCTCTATAGTACAAAGGCGCGAACAGTGCGTCCTTGCCGGAGCGAAATCTCCACCAGAAGGTGGAGAATGCACATACATTATTGTTGTTTTAAACCACCACCACCACCCCGCAAAAACAAACTATATAATGTGTCCAGTTGCTTTTGGCAGAGGTGATGAACAAATGACATGCATTAGTTTTGGCAGATGAGACAAATGGGACGCACTACCTTTGGCAGAAACACATGATACAGTGATACAGATGAGATACATGAAGCCACGGGTTGGTGAAGGGTTGTGGAAAAGCACATGAACACATGATACATAATACATGATACAAAGATGAGTTTTGCAAAGACGAGCAAGTCCATCTTTTCCAGACTGCAGACGCGTTACATGACTGTTGCCATCGCCCACCGACAAAGATTAGGGAAGCCGACCCTAGGTCAGCATTCCGGGCCAGTACTGTTACTGTTCCGATAGAATGGATGTCTTCAGGGCAACCCTTTACGGTTGCAAAAAAGAACTCGAATATCTTGTGTATATAATTTACAAAAATATTATAGTCAAAGAAATCAAAACACTGCAAGTACCGGCAGAAATTTTAAGAGGGTTGAATTTTTGCGGTAAACAATGAGCTGAACTCAAACAAGAAAAGGCAGGCGATAGGAGTTGTTTGTCACCCATTGCACGAGAGTGATTCCACAACCAACTGCTTCTCAGAATTAGTAAAATCCCAACATCCTTCGTCGACGTTTTCGTCTGACCCCGTCCACATAAATGTCAGGATCTTGAGGATCCACTTCTCTGATGCGTGCTTGTTCCAAGCCCAGAACGCCACGATTGGGCTCTGCCGATGAGGCGCCAGCCTCGCGGAGCGACGCTGTGCCGATGAGTTCCTCCGCCGATGAGGTGATGCAGCTGTGGCATTCGGAGAGGCCCTGACAGCAGGTGGAAGAGTCAGAGAGTCGAAGAGTCGAGCTGCTGGAGTTGGAGCGGAGAAAGAGATTATATGAGAGTCAAAGAGGGGGTCTGACTCTGCTGTTTGGGTGCATCACTATTTCCAGATCAAGATGATCAAGAACCTGTCAAAAGTCTACAGGATTTTCAGCAGAACACCATCCTCAGTCCCTTGTGCCGCAATTGTTTCATCTTGTGATTGGATTTCACTGACCTATGCCTTGGCGTTCTTCCATCGCCGGACCGGCCACATCCAGTTCGGGGACAGTTCCGGGGTTCATCGAATCCAGGGGGCCCCGTGGTGAAGGACTCCCCTCGCACCGCATGAGACCTGAACTCACTGGTCCCAAATGGGTCGACGAACAGCTCTGGTTTCTCCGCTTTGCCAAGGTTCCCGCCTGTGGCAACCTACACTGCTGTGGCATGGCGGCGCCTGCGCCTGTGCCTAAAACTGGGCCTAACTAAAACGCTCCAAGGCGTGGCCGCGCAAGAGAAGACTTCACACAACGGAAAGGTACCACCTGCCATCACCTGCCTCCATGTGTCACCACGTCCCAAAGGAAGTCACAAGAAGCAACGAGAACCTGTCTGAACCACCTTGTTTGGACCTCACCTCACCATCTTATAATGTATTGGCTGGTTGTTTCAAGGCAGTCTTAATGCACTTGATTTCGTTGTGGCAACATAGTTGACATGGTGCTGTGGCGGGTTGTATAGATGCTGCTTGTGCATGTCGGTCTTGAAGCACATACATGTCAAAGCTTGCATTAAGGCCTATCCTGTTTTCAATCGACCTTTAATACCTTCGTCTGTACCTATATATCTATACCTTCTACATCTTCAGGGTGAATTTCGCGCAAGCGTCACAGAGACATGATTTGGAGGCAACTCACAGTGCACAGAAGAATCCGCACAGAGCTGGTTGTGCCATCTACTCTGAAACAACTGTAAACACCAACAACCATCAAGGGCAGCGCACCAGCAACTAGCAAATGAAAACGAGTCGCAGCCTTCCAAATTGCCTCCCCACACCCTCCCACCAGCAAACCACGCAAAACCACGGCAGGCCGACATCCAAAGAGACCTTATCAATCCTTATCATCCAAACCCTGTACCACATGCCAAGTGTCACCCAGAACCACGCGCCGTTGAGTTTTTCTGCTACTGAACACCTGCCACCGCTAGTCGCAGCGACCGAAGCTGCCACCGCTCGTTTTGGCGTCCCATGGCGATCTCCTGAGCCATGGCGATCATCGACTCATGCTCATCCCAGGACCTCACGTTCGCCCACCGGCCGGGCACACGGCGGAAGAGAGCGGAAGTGAACACGTGTGGACGATTGATTCAATGAACCTGAGTGACATCATTCTGCCAGAATGGTTTTACATCTTTCATTGGAATGAGTGAACATGAGTGACTCGTTTCATGGGAATCTTCGATCGAAAACTCCAGGCGCCAGGCCGGCGCTTACCGGCGCTTACCGGCGCCGACGAGGCAAATGTCCTCTGAGCACAGCGCTTCTCCGGATCGCTTAGGACAAACTGCTCAATCTTCTCAAACTGGTGCACTCGAAAAATGCCGCGAATATCTCGACCTGATCTGCGCAGGATGCCGCTCTCACCGCTCCGTCGGTGACGTGGAGGGGGACCACCAGCTGGGTCTGGTCTTTGAGATGCCATCCCTTCGGAACCAGTCCATCCCATCCACGATATGTCATGGATCTCAAGGAGTGGCCGGCAACGACAACGACAGGCTTTCGGTTTGGGGGGGGCGAGGATGGATGCTCGGATGCTCAAGCCTGGCTGCCTCGAACTCGTTTCGGTCCAGTTCCGGAACATCGGGGTTCAAGACAAAGACCAAGACAAAGACCGGGTTGAGACCAGTTTAATATAACTGTGGGTTAATTATAACATGTTCCGGAACTTCAAACATTGTCTTTAATTGATGTTAAGTTGTAATTTTCAAACATGGTCTTGCACTCCTAGGGTGTATAATGTGTATAATGTGTCTATCTCTCCATGAAGTGGAGATTGAGATGAGTGGCTTGCTCCACCAAAAAAATCAATAAGGGTTCTGTGTATCTACTCTAGAGGTATTAAACATGGAACTCAAAAATTGTTTGGATATGCTTTCCACTGTTTGTTAAAAAGTGCGACGGTAATAAACATAGAAGTAAACCTGTGCTGAAGCATGACCAGATTAGGATGACCATGACGCGCTTCCATGTTGAATAGCATGGCTCAAAGACGAGAGGCATTCAAGTAGAAGAGTACTAATAGGATTGCATATTATAGAATGTATACAAAAAACATATATTAACTAATGTAACTAATGTATATAAACAAAACTTATGTATGTTACCCCCCAAAGAATACAACTTTCATAGTATTGCTGGCAGTGCCATTTCAAAAAAACTGGTGAGGGCTTGGATTGGATTGAAAACCTCCAATCAGAGCACTCCCACATGTGAAGCAAGAGGTGGGAGAAAAAAAGAAAGAGTGGCAGTTTGCTGTAGGGAATTCCCAGAATTTTCACCAGTAAAACATAGTACAATCCTGTCGAATAAACATGCAAGATATCCACAGGTGAAGCTAGGACCAAGTAGAAACTGGATAACGCAGAAGTGCGTCGCACTTCTTGAAATTTCAATGTTTAATATATCCAGCTTTTTACCCTACCATTCGCCGTGACCAACCATGACGCACTTCCATGTTCCCCATTGCCTCCCCTGTCACTACTCTTACCATCTTTCAATTCCATTTCCTTAACTTGACGATACTACATCAAGCAATGCATGAAAAAATGTGTCCATCTACGGCCCAAGCTTTAACCTTGCTTAATCAGGCGCACCAAACAAAGCCAGATCCGGATCCTGATGCTTGGACATGCGCCTAGCTCCTTAGCTCACCAACCCGCCAAATCCGGCGGAAATCCTCCGGGCGTCCCGGCCGCTGCTGCCTGCTTCACGTCGAAAGCACGACGAAAGGCCCACGTAGCGCAGCGGGAAGCGCGTCTGAGAGCAGAGAGGAGCACAGAGCAGAGGGGGCATGGAGATGGGACTGAGGACGGGTGAAAGCGAAGCGCGGAGTCGTTCCAGAGTTGAAATTGACTCGAGAGGATTTCGAGAAGATCTAAGTTTCATGGTGTCTCTAAAGATACATGTAATACATGGCCTACTATGACAAGGAGTTACTTTCATTCCAAAACATGAAATCACGCGTCCGCGAAGACCAACATGTGGCAAACAATCCGTCCTTGTCAATATTCTGCCCCCTGTGGAAAGCAGAGATTGGCTGCTCCTGCCAAAAAGCAAGTTTGATCGATCTGAGGCTGGAAGATAGATTCGAGCCACTATTCGAGCCAACTCCACCAAAGATATCCAAGCAGTACTTGATCCTATAAATATATATATATATATACCCAGAAGTCAAAAAGATCCCAAAAGCGCAAAAAGCTGCAGGCAGGCTTTTTCCATGAGCTTTGGTTGATGCTGGGGTCCTCCCCCAGACCCTGTACCGTTTGATCCATTTCAAACTGCCCTGGACTTCGCCAGGGGGGACAAGGGTGTGTCAGGCAGTAGGATTCGCCCGTCTCTGCCGCAACACCCGAATGTCCCCTGGCCTCCCAGGGCCAACAGGCACCTGTCGAGGTGGCAGGGGACAGGGTCGGGAGGACAGCCCACCGGATCCGGTCACGGGATCTTGGGTGGGCAGCTAGGAAAAGCCGGTTGAGGACAAAAGTTTTGAAACAAAAGGAAAAATGAAGAGAGTCTCCGGTGCCGGTAGCCGGCGATCTAAGGAGAATCCTTCAAAATCAGGATGAGTCAATTCATCCGCCCAGGTGTTGAATTCCCGGGGGATGTGATTGGGAGCGATGCTACAGCCCTCACAATGGAGGAAGAGAACCAATTCCATGAGCAGTGCCGCGGAGTATGGTTTCTTGGCCGAGAGGTTGAGCAGGCTGAAGATGTTGCCTGAGTTGTCGCTGCCCACCGGGAGGCGAACTCTTCCCGGCATTTGGCCCTGTTGGGCCACCAGGTGCTTGCAAAGGAGCAGTGTGCCCAGGAGCTCCAGGGCAGCGATGCGTTTCTGAGGGTTGCCATCCTTGAAGGCCCAAGGGTGGTCGTCCGCTGTAATAGCATAGTGGAACCATAGGACCTGGTCCTTGGTGGGGTTTGGGGAGGTCGAGCACCAACCCCCAACATAGGCTTCACCTGTTTTGGATGCACTAGCATCACTGCATCCCCACCAAGGCGACTTCGGCAGGAAAGGTGAGTACTGTTCAAAGGGGTGCGTGAAGAGCTCCCTCAGGAGGGCGGCCAGCATTCGGACCACCTTTGGTGGGTGGCCCATAGTTTTGACCGCCATCTTCCAAGCCCAGAGTGGCTGGAGTAGGGACTTGGTCAGAGGACAGCACGCCGTGGCCCATTGGATCCGTCCCATGGCCTTCTCAATGGCCTTGGCTGACATGGGGGATCCATTGGCGAGTTCTTCCAGGAGCTCCATGACCTTGATGTGCTTGGGTGCCGCCATCTGGACTCGAGGAATGGACGGGTGGATCACGAACCCAAGCCATGTATTGATCTCTGCCAAATGGGTCTTCTTCCAGCTAAGGGGCGTGCCCAAAGCCACCAATGTACCCAAGAGGGCCGCAGTGAATTGCGGTCCTGTGGGCAGGCGAAGGAGCCAACAAAAATCATCAACGAAGACAAAACCCCAGTCAATCTGAGGGAAGAGGTAGTAGAGGATCCGCAGGAGCAAGGCCGCCATTCTGCCCCAATAGAGCTGAGCACTTGCCATGCCGTAGGTGCCCACCTTGTTGACCCACCATTCGTCGTCCAGCTGTGCGACCTGGAAACGCCAGTCCTGGGGCAAGACTTTGATCCGTCGGTGGGCCTTAGTGACGTCAGCTTTCAGCAAGATCCATTGGCTGTCCTTGGTGGGCCACTCCCAGACGGGGAGTGAGTCGTCCAGGCCCCCTGCTCGCTCAGGGCCAGAGGCTCCTGGGCTAAGCCGGGGGCGTGTGGAAGCCTCAGTATGTCTTGCGGCGTGGAGCCAGTGGATAGCATGGACACAGTCCAGGACTGTGGGTGCTGTGGTCCGCTCCTTAGTGTTTTGTTGGATCTTGGCATTGGCGCCTCCCACCGATCCATCGTAGATTGTACGGACCTTGTCCCCTTCATCGATCCCTGCCAGGGGACCTGGGCAGAGGGCTGTCGGGTCGCAGCCGCAGAGATCGGCCGCCTGTTGTTTGGACAGCGGGCCAACTGTCATGCCCATTGGGACTTCCTCCTCAAAGGTGGCCCGGATTTCTCTGGAAAAGTCTGCAGCCGAGGGGTAATTGTGGTGCCCCTTGGGGTCGTCCAGTGGAGCTTCAACTGGGTCTTCCCCTGCAAGCTCACTCTTGAGGGGCCACACTCCCGGTGAGGGGAGGGTGGGATCCGAGACCCCCAGGGGAACGCCTGTGGTGAGAATCTGAGGGTACTGCCAGTCTGGGTCCCCGGCCGTACTGGCCAATTGTGAGATCAGCCCCAAGTAGAAAGGTTGTCCGTCTGGTGGGGTGTGGTGGTGGCCAGGGTGGAGGATCTGCCTGATGTCCTCCAGCAGCGGGTCTGGGTAGGGGTGTTGTTTTGACCCGCACGTGATCGACCACATGACTTGGTCAGTGAATGGAGTGGTCAACGCCAGGATCTTGGTTCCGAAACGGGCCAGCGTAGATGCCGGCCGAGCCCAGGGAGCCATCCGGCCCCAGGAGGGTTTGCCTCCCCCGTCCCGCAGTGGTCTGGTCTTGAATGCCACCTGAAGGCGCATCAGAGGGTCGTGTAGTGAGAGATCCTCGGAGATCGGATCATATTTGGGACAGTCGGACCAAATTGTACTGGTGTGCCAAGTGTCCCCTGCCGTGGAATGGGAGGGGACTGCATGGGCGGCGGTGCTGCCCTGGGTAAGGCCTGCGATAGCACGGGCTGCTTTGTTGGCACGGGATGGAGTTGTGTCCTTCGCGCCCTCCTCTCTAGACCTCTTGGGAGGAGGGGATTGGTCCGCAGCCCCGGAGGGTTGGTGGGTGGGTTTGGGTGGAACCTGGAGGACCTTGGCGATGGCCTGAGCCAAGCCGAGCATCATCTGGTCTGGGTAACGGCTAAGGTCGCTGGACTGGAGGTCCCCCAGAGGTTGGTGCCCAAGGTGGTTGCAGCGGAGGTCCTGCCAATGGTGCAATGGAAGATCTGTCGACAGGGTAGTTGCCTTGATCACCATCTGACCTAGTCTGCACTGATCAAACTTCATGCGGTGATGGTGCAACTGGTTGGCCCACTTGATATAGGCGCGGGTCACCCACAGGGATGAGCACTTGTGTGCCTGGGGGCTGGCGCTGACCTCCATGGGGTCCCTGGGGTGCTCCAGAAAGGAGTATCCCACCCTTGGTGGGTGGTACTGGGCCAAGCCTTGGTAAGCCAGTGAGGTGAGGTACATCTGGCGGAGCACCAACATGCTGTCATTGTCCGTGTCAAGCTGTTCCTCTGCCGTGTTGGCTGGGAGGCCCCATACTTGTTGCTTGCTGCGCCCCCGCACTGGCCTCGGGGCGTTGGGCTTGGGGAACCAGCGAAGAATGCTCCAGGTGCGGCAGTTTGGGCCGCCCCCCACAAATAACAGTAGCCCCGCAGTCGCAAGGGAGCACAGGTGGTTCCAAAGTGGAGCCTGGAGCATATCCTGGCCAAGGGGCCCCTTGTCTCTTCGAATGTCAATCGCCCAAACCAGCGGTGAGAGGTCTGGGCACGTGGCATGGAGGTAGGAGTCCAACGAGCCCGCATCATCCTTGCCGGCATAGAGAAGGAGAATGGTTGGTTTCGCCTCTGGTGGAAGTGGGACCCGTGTCCAGTGGAGGCGCCGCCGTAGTCTGTCCGGGATGTTTGTCATCCATGTGAAGGACGGTTCAACCTGAGGGGTGGTGCTCTGAGTCCCCGACAGGTGCCCAGCCGGTCCCGGGCGAGATGCCATATCGCCGGTGGGCCTAGAGGCGGCCTCAGTGTGGATAGGTGACTCTGGAGGATGCCTTGGTGGGGGCATCTGGATCTGGTGTTCTCGTAGGGGTTTGCCCGGTCCCCCCGCAGCGGGTCGAGACTTTGGTGCGCCGGGAGGTGGTGTAGGAGGTACAGGGCCCAAGGCGCCTGGACCATTCCTAACCTCCCACTGGGAGGCCACTTGCGGTACCTCGGAGGACGCAGGTGGAGCAGGGCCACAGGCACCTGGACCAACCTGGCGTCACTTGGTGGCATGGGGGCATTCATCGGGGGTGTGCTTGTCTGGGGACGCGTTGCACACCCAACCCCCTTGGCGGACCGGGCAATTGTGGGATCGGCCGCAGCTGCCCGGGCAGGTGCCGGTCAAGTGATAGTCTCGGCAGAAGGCTTTCCCTTTTGGGTCCTTGAATGCCCAGGCGTCCGGCCACTGGCCCTTGCCTTTGCCCTTCGGGGTCTTTCCTTTGCCCCCCTTCGGTGCTGGTCTTGCCCCCTTGCGGCCACGATCTTTGCCGCCTTTGGACGACTTGTCCCATTGGGTCTGCCAGACCGGGGTCCAGGACTTGCCTCTGGTCTTGCCCAGCCCCTTTGTTGTCGTGCGGGGGGCACTGTTGCAGTACTCATACACCTCCCTCTGCCCCCGCTCCAGCTTGTGTTTGAGGTCCTCCGGCCAGGCCGAGATCTCCGTGGGGGTGAGGGCAAACTTTTCCATGAAAGCGGTGCCCTGGTCTTGGATCTTTTTGTTGGCCTCTTTGGCCTTCTCCAGAGAGGTGGCAGCGGCCTTGAGGGAATCCTCTGCGCTGCCCGTGGCCTCCTCTAGCATCCGCTTCTTCAGCGCCGCTTTGAAGTCCATGAGGTTGACCTTCCGCAGGAGGTTGGAGCCAGCGTTCCGCACCTGGCTGTCAGGGATCGACTGCATGCCCTAGGAGGGATTGGCGCCAAGACCGCGGCCTGCAGCTGAGACACCTGATCGGCGTTCTCCTGTCGCTCCGCCTCCTCCGCTTGGGCGCGCTCCGCCTTGAGGTCTGCTGAAGCAAGGCCCTGGAGGGCCTCGGACTGAATGCGGAGGGCCTTGGCCGCCTCCGGGTGGAAGATCTGAAAGGACTGCGAAGGCTGCTGCTCCGTCAGCCGTCGACGGTGGGCCTCCGTGGTCTCTGCTGCATCGTCCTCGTAGTCTGCCGACAAAATCTCCTGCCGGATGTGGACCCGGCAGACTGAAGGGACCTCATCCGCAAAGGTCCGCTCTTCCTCAGTGCACGTGGCCGCCGGGGCCTGGGCAAACTGGCTCCCATCAATGGAGTGTGACAGCTTGAAGTGCCTCTCCGCGTCAGGGTCCACGCTAGTCGCCTCAGGGCCCAGGGCACCTGGGGTAGACTGGACCGGAGCAGCTCGTCGCCAGACTGGCCTGCCAGCCTCGTAGAGCAAGGTCCAGGTCTCAGTCCCCACCTCCATGATGGATGTAGGCCGCTGGTACTCGATCGCTTGGTCATGCTTGCAGGTCCAGCACCGGGTGGCGTTGTCCGGCCAGGGCGTCAGGCATTTGCCGCACATGGAGTGGAAGGGCATGTCGCCTGCAGGCAAGTGGAGGCCCTTCTGGTCGGTCAGGCCGGACTTGTCGGTGGCCTTCTGATACCGCTGGGTCCAGATCTTTTCCTGCATGGCCATCGCCCGCAGGGGGAGGTATTGCTCAATGATGCGGGTGACCACCGGTGTTGACAAGGGGTAGCCGGTCAACTGGTCGAAGAGCTGGACCATCTCCTTCTCGGAGCAAGATGTGAGAAGCCCCGCCAAGTGGCCCGGAATGGGCGGGAAAGAGTCCGGTAACATCGCGAACCGGACATGGTTCTCCGGTTCCGTCACCGGGAGGAACCTGATGGGCATGGCTATCGCGCCCAGTGTGGCTGAAGAGGCCCTGGTAAAACCCGGTAGGGTAGGCGTCTTGGATGTGGGCTCTTCCATAGAATGCGGAGCCGGCCTCTTGGTAGGTCTCGGAGGTTCTGATGCCTGTGCCCTCGCCAGGGGCGTCAACGGCAAAGCAGCAGCCGCCATGGCATCTACCGGGTCACTAACAGGGGGTGTGAGACCTAAGCCCGGGCGCTCAGTGGTGTCCTCCTCCATCTGGTTGTCCGATGCCGCAGGGCGTGGCTCCGCTGCAACAGGCCAAGCCAAAGGGGGTTCCGCCATGGCCGTCAGCATAGAAGGCTGGGCCGCTGCCGCGGATCGTGTAGTAGGGCTCGTCGACGGGGCCACCACAGCAGCAGGAGCCACCCCCTCCGCCGCTGGGCCAGGGGCACCAGGAGCAGAAGGGGGTGGGCAAGCGCCGTCATCCGCCTGGCTCTCCAGGCCCAGGAGGTCCACCCCCATGTCCGCGTCCTCGCGCTCTGCAATCTGGAGCTTGAGAGCCTCCAGGTGGCGCTCCAATTCTCTAATCTTCGCCTGAGCATCCAGCTCAGAAACCAAAACAGGCTGGCCAAACACGGCTAAGCCTCTCGCTCCTTCCGCCTCCGCATGACGGAGGGCTGTGGATGCTGCGTCCGCAGCCGCGTCTAGGCTCTCCATGCCTGGGCTGCTGATTGTGGTGCCATCCTCGACGTCCGGCTGGGCATCTCGCACGGACTCGATCATGACATATTCCGGTTCCATTGGGTGCGCCATTGCGTCGTCGTCAAAAATCACCAATGTACTAGGGAGTGTCCAAGGAAGTTTTCTTCCCAACCTTCAGGTGCAATCCTGCGTGCGATTGCTACCCACTTGAGCCAAAATGTCCCGGTGGGACATTTTGTGAACTTCAGTGAACATAAAACTTGCATCCGCAAGCTCCCTGCAAGTGTGAATATATATGCCCCAATCATGGCTCCACTCCAACTTGGCGAAAACACATAGCAATCCCTGTTCCTCCTCAATCATTTCTTGCAGAATTGCAGCACAACATGGCCACAAGCACCACAGGCTCTACAGCCATGCCCCCCAAGCACTCTGTTGACATGAAAGAACATCAGACGGGAATCTCAAAAAGAACACATCAGCTTTGTTCTCCTTCACCGTCTTCACCCTATCTCCGTACGTCTATCCTCGATCCTCGGCCTTCGACCGCCCGACGGCGTGGGTCGCTTCGCCGCCCGGACGGTGGCGGTCCGAGGTGGCAATGAGGTACTTGTCCAACTCGGGATGCTCCTAGGGTTCGAAGCGCCAGCGTTTTCTGTGGACGATGTAAAAACACCGCTGGCGGAAAAACAAAGAAAACAAACACGCGCGCGGAAGCACACAGAAAGGGTCCGAGGTCACAAGCTGTGAGGTCACTCAAATGCTGCAATTGTTAACAACAATGTTCTCGCTATTGACGATCTCAAATGCATCTTCAGAGCTGTTGCTCTGTTGTGTTGCTAGTGTTCCATATAGTGTTCCCAGACACAACGCATGGGACTGGCATATTTATGCATTGTTTGAGATGATTTTTGGGGGCAGGATCTCTGTTTTTCTATTTGTATTCATCAGGGAACCCGAATCTCTTAATTCGCGATTTGATTAATTACGAAGTGAAGGGATACTTCTGCATATATTGTCTCCCTGTCCTTGTCTTCGATGACCTTGTAGAGGACATCATCGTAGTCAGCCTCAAAGAATTGTCTCAAGTCGAAAAGAAGAAGCTTCAAGAGTTGGAGGATGGGTTAACAACTAACATATATATATATATATATGGGTTTGCAGCTGCATATCAACTGTTTAAAGTGCAAATAATAGGGAGGGGTTGACTGGTCTGTTTTCTTCCATTCCAGGGGATCGAACTGGCAGGTCTTCCTATTTTAATGCACAATATGACAATATGGAGATCTTCATCATGAGTTGTTTGGTCATCCTCAGTACAACTTCGGTCTGAAACCTAGTCGACTTCTCATCAGTTGACGACTTCTCAGCGCACCTCCGATTTGAGGCTTTGAAAGATAGAAGCTTTCATAAGCTTTCATTCAGTTCGCATAAATGCACCGAAAAACTTCAGTAGCGCCTCCACTTCAAATGACAAGCCCCCTCCACTTCAAGATTTCATCCTCCCTCTTCTTCTTCTTCTTCTTCTTCTTCTTCTTCTTCATCTCTCTTCTTTTCCGGCAGAAACAAACACACCCACCGCCGAGTCTGGACCGGAACGGAGCCGCCGAGCGTTCGGACCAACTCAGCGGTTCGCGCCATCAGGTCCTCGCGACGGCGCACGGCCAGCGGTTCGCGCACGACGTTTTGGGTCGGGACGTCCAGACGTGAAGGTCGGGGGTCTCAGTACTGGAACCAAAAGGGGACGTCCATGTGGGGTGAACTGCTCATGTGAAGTCAAGGTCTGTTCTGGGGTAGTCCTTGATCATCAATCAGTCTGCGGAGCTACACATGCTACAGTAGCCTTTGGTGATCTTTGGTGGAAAACGCTGTGAGTAGTGGCATGTTCATCCAGCATGCATGCTCAGAACTCACATGGCGAAGCGAGTCAAAACCACTTCTCCTTCTTCATGAAGAACGGAGGCTGCCTGGGCACAATATCTGGGTGCATGCAGCCTGGGGAGATCCCACAAGAGATCCCTCAAATTGCCTACGAAGAGCAATAGGGCATGATTCTATGCTAGGAGTTGTGGCTCGCCATATTTTTAATTTGCTTGTATCAAACAACCATTTTACGTAAACTATAAGGATCTATATATTCTTACATTCCAAAACCAGGTCTTTCCCATGCTTACAAATGGTAAGGCTAGGTGACTAGGGCGGGCGAATCAGTTATAGCGCTGTCATTGACATCGTCTGTGGGTCTCAAATCCGGCTGAGCAACAATGGAGTGTAGCCACGCTGTGAGAGGAAGGCAATGCCTCGGCCGGTACGCCACGGCATGGCTCGCCCCGGTCGTGTACGACTGGGTGCGTGGTCGCGTCGTGTCCAGACTCGCAAAATGACACTGAAGCTCTGAACCTGCTCGGTCCTTGCGTTGTTATTCGCATGATGCCAAAAAGAAGAACCAAGGCGAAAAACTGGTCTTCTTCGTTTGCTTCTTCGATTCGTTATGCTCCACCAATGCCATTCATTCATTAGGCTTCGGCCATAATTGATCAGTGCCTGGTTCAGCAGCACCCCCGGCCCCGTCAAAAAGTAGCCGCGATGCCCGGCAACCTGAGATGAGACAGGCGAAAACCACCGGGCTCCGATGGCCCTCCCGCTCTTTTTGGAGTCGATTTGGCCACTGTGGTGCTCACGGGGTGGGGATCCTTCGCGGGGTGCGCGCCGCTCCGTCCGCCGGCGCTCCGTCCCGCGCCTCGTTGCCGGCGTCGAACTCCACCGCGCCGATCATCTCCAGCAGTTCGAAGTGCGGACGAAAGCCGTTCGCCTCCGCGTTAAAGGCGGTGCGCAGTGGGCGCGGGGGCGGAACCGGCGACCCGTTCTCAGCACAGACGCTTTTTGAAGCACCACATGGCGGGAGGGGAAGGTAGGGTGGGTAGGTGGGTGGGTGAGTGGGCGCGAAGCACCTTCGAGATTTTGGAAGCAAACTGGGAAGGAACTCGTCGAATAGGATTGATCATTAGACTGAGGTGCATATCACATGCTTCTGAAGAGATCCACGGCGACTGCTATTCTGCTATAGCAAATAATCTATGCAGGTCTATGCATATTGACCGACAGCATCGTTGAGTGAAAGGGTACCTAAATGGATTCTGCATGTCTATTCTTCCTGCCTTTTCACTTCAAAAACCAACCAAAAGGCAGCATGGTTAAAAAATGTGCTTAAAAGATCACAGCGAGACCCCCAATCAACGGATTTTGAGGATGATTTCGGTCGATGTCTTTTCCCCGAAGGGCCCCCCGCCGCGACCCCACGAACCCCACGAACGCCACGCCACTGCTTTCCTCGGTCGCCCGAACGGCACGAGACGGAGCGACCGCCTGGTAGGTCTTGCCGCCAAAGCTACGAGGAACGCCCCAGGTAGCAACGACCTGCGCCGAGTGGATTTCTGCGGGTTGATGAGTGCAGATTTCTGGCCTTGTAGGTGGGCTCTCCAATTTGTACATCCAAGCAAGAAAACACCCTATCGCCCTAGCCTCAGCTCAGCGAACCTCAAACCTCTTGTCTGCTCGCTTTCTTTTTTCTTGCCTTTCGGGACGATGGACACCGCACCTTGTTGTCCTTATCCTCATCTTGAGAAACGGGAACGCTATCATGGACCTCAGCGAATCGCACCGTCGCAGTGAACAACGACGGGGCGACACCAGCAGGACTCCGGGCGCCTGCCGAACGAGTTGTTCAGAGACACTCCGGACGTCCGGACGGCCGAACTCGCGGACACTTGGACTGGATCGGTCCGTGGCTTGGCCTGAATCGGTGGTCTGTCAGAAAACTGGTCAGTCCCAAAGGGATCGATCTGGATCTGGGAGTGTGTTCTATCCGAGAAAAGTCTTCCGTTCCTGAAAGGCCGAACTGAATGCGATTTTGGATGATTTACATTTAAAAAAAAAACCGTGGGGAAACAAAACGAATAGAAGAAGGCACAGCAACATTCCAATCAATACAAGGGCGTGGTGACTTCATCTTTAGGCAGCTGTGAATTCATCTCTAGGCAGTCGCGGTTTCCTTCTACACCACAAATAACCCTAACAAACATCCAAAACATTCCAAACAACTGGGCATGAATTTGAAGATCCTTCTATAAGAAAATGATGGAAATTTGGGTGAACAGAGGGTCCAGTCATACCTTGCGGGGAGCTACGACTAGAGACCTGCAATTGGTGAATGGACACCCCGAATTCTCTGGCCCACCGGGCTGTCCATCGAAACCCCAACCCACCGTCGACCGTCCAGTCGTTGACTGGTAACGCCGCCATCCTGGGATCTCCTGGCCATGTTGCCGATCGAGCCCAAAAGCTTGTCCTCGGTGTTAAACCGGAAGAAGAACGTCTTCTGAACGCTCGGTTTGGGAGCAAAGGAGTGGTCCCAGGAGATGACGATGACGATGACACAAATGACATGACAGGCATCGAAGAGCTCCATCTGAAGGTCTGCTTGGATCTTGTGATGGAAGGAGCTCTTCATCGTTCACAGGCACCGGAAGGGTACTCTTTCTAAAGCCCGCTCCTACTTAATTATACTTAATAAAGTGGGCACCTACTTGTATATTGTACTTGCCCGGCGGTTGGTTAGCTTCGACTTATAACCTAGGTTATAAGTAGTCCTAACCTACTTATAACCTTTGCTTTAAGTCTACTAACCTCTATAAGGGTTAGCTTCGACTTAGCTTTAAGTTAGCTAAGCCAATAGGAGTTAGTAGGTACTTAGGTCTGACTTAGCTAAGTCACAGCTAAGTAAGCTAAGTCTAAGTTGGACTTACCTGTCACTTACAAGTGACTTATAAGTCGAAGCTAAGTCAAAGCTAAGTCCAAACTAAGTCCAAGGTATAAACTGAACATAACGTTTGAAACCAATGATTTAATGGCTTTTGTGTATACTATTTTGACCTTTTGTGTCTATATTGCGGCTATGCCGAATTAAAGTATGTCAGTTCATTATTTATACATAGTTGTTTAAAAACAATATTCAATAGATACATATGTTTGTTTGATGACTATTATTCTTAATTGTTGCACTTTCTTGAGTTTATATATTCGTTTCATTACCTTAATATCTTAATAGTTTTTGTTTAAAATACATTCAAGGTTTATTGTAAAAAGGTTAACATACTTCAGGTATGCCTCAATCACAAAATGATAACTTATAAGTATTGTATATATATATATTAAATATATATTTTTATGTTTTTAACCTATCAACAACAAATATGTAAAAACAGAATGTTCATGTGATTGATATGTACATCACTATTGATCTCTAATTAGTAATCTATATTCTTTGTATTATTGCTTAACTATATGTTTATTGAAATTAGAAATAATGTTATCGTTAACGTATTGACTATTTAAGGTAACAATATGATAACAAACAGTCATAAATATGTTATGACAGGTTATGACAATCAATACTTTAGCTATCATAAATTTTATTGCAAGATTTAATTGGAAAAGTAAACGTCGTAGAGATGTTGTCAAATTTTAAAACACACACTATGACATATTGTCATGAACAAATATGACACATTTTGACAGGTGATTATCATCTATATTTATCGTAAAAAAGATTTAGTATATATAAAGTCTAATGAACAAAATATTTAATATATATATAGTTGATGTATGTGCATTATTTTATGTAAATCTGTTTTTGATATATTATATCAATAATGATACGTTTATTTTATGTATATTTTCTGTTTACAGCGTTGCCGTTTTTTGTTTGACTAGTACTTACCTTGCAGGCATTTGTGCAGCTGGACTCAAATTTGACATATTTTACTTATGTCACAAGCTCAGCCATAACTTTTGAAACCAATTAAATAATTAAAGCATAAGTATCATCGCGGCAAGTGAAAAAGGAGCTACATCCCTGACATCTGTTCAGTGTGGATTGCAGTTGTGTGTCGTGGTTTTGCTGGCGGCCAAGCCGCGCCAACTTTTTGTATAATATATTTTTTTAAACAAACTTATTCAAAAAGTAAAAGGATTTAGCTTGGAATGACAATTGACTTAGCTTGGACTTAGCCTGGACTTATAAGTCCAAGCTAAGTCCAAGCTAAGTGGAAGCTAAGTTGGACTTAGCTAAGTCAAAGCTAAATACTTACTAAGTACTTATAACTCCAAGCTAGACTTAGCTCAGCTTAGCTAACCAACCGCCGGGCAAGTATATATATATATATACTGTCAGGGCCCATGGCCTTGAAGCTTCAAAGGTTTCCTTTATGGGGGCCAGAAAGCAGTCCATGTATCAGACGGTTGCCGTCTGAGCTTGCAATGGTGTCTGCAGCGTTTTGGCTGCAACAAAAGTAAGAATTCCGATCGTGCACTGGTTCAGCTACCTTTTTTCCTTGTCCGATGATGCAGCAGCTGCCACTCCAGCTGTTCCTGTGCCATCTAGCGCTGTGCGGGTGCCGGGACCAGACCAATTGCCACAATTACGAGCTGCAAGGGCAGTGCTGAAGCAGCAGTTGAAAGAATCTACAATTCGCAAAGAGGTTCGCCGCAGATCCCGTCTCACGAAAAAGGCCGCTGGATTATCCATGTCTGATTTGGCTTGGCTCTTGACTCGCCGTGCCACGACTGCAGAGTGAGCTAGGGTTGGAGCAGCGAGCAGTACCAAAGATACCAAAGCATGAGGGGTAAAAGTCTCAGACCATTTGGTGAGCGACGGTCTGAGCAGCATGTAGCACCTAAGGTGCCGCTGCATGAAGCGTCAAAGTTTCGGACAAGTTGCCTGCAATGTGTTGCGTTCAGTGGGCAACGGTTTCAGCAACATGCAGCACCAAAGGTGCCAGGCATGAGGAAAAATGTCGCGGACCATTTGCGAGCAGTGATTGTTTCAAACAATTTCAGAGAGGGCAGTCCTATGGAGTCATAAATCATAGACATCTCCCTCATGGTCCCGGTGGATGTTTGTCAGTTCACCTCTCTCTCTCCCTCTCTGTCTGTGTTTGTGTCTGTCTCTGTCTCTGCTCTCCATTCAATACGTCGGCTCCCTTGCCCAGCCCATGCCACTAGCATTATCGTGTCTGGCGCCTTTACCGCGCAAACTTGCGCACGGCAGATGGAGAGTGGTTTCACAGCTCGGCCGATACCGGTTGTGCACACATTGTGGTCAGCCGCAGTTTTTTTTGTAGCCTCACTGCACATTTTTGAATGCAAAATGTTCTAGGTCATGCGCTCCTGCGGGTGATACAATACCATGTAGGATGAGTAAACGAGGCCAGGGGACACAACCTCAACCTATATAGCCCACGGCAAGCCAGTTGCAGTTGTACTTTTTTGCACGTCGCACGTATGCGTGCATCGTTGAATGGCATGAAGCGCCGGAGATTGCGGTCAAAGCAGCGGCCTCCCCCATGCTACTAGCAAATCGACGAAGTTGAAGACGGCCACGTCCTACCAGAAGCTGCCACTGCAGCTGTTGCCGTTGGCGAAAGTCAGGCAGACGGTGTGGACCCTGCCGAAGCGGAACGCGCTGATACAATCGCAGCCATGCCTGACGCTGTGGGCAGTGATGGCAGTGAAAATTTGGATTCGTGTGATCGGTGGCACAGTTGCTTGGCAAGTACAAGACTGTGCAGGCCTTGGTGGCAGCTGTGATTCGAGAGAAAACTGATGAGCAGCTCCAAAGCCTTAATTCGTATCAATGTGATTTTGGAAGATATCTTAGCAAAAGCGGGTGGCAAAGTCACCATGACAGAACTGTTGCAGGAGAAAGACGAGTTCATCTCAGCTTCAATGACTGCAGTGCCGAAAGAGCTCTCTCGGCGCTTGCTTCGTGCTGTGAAGCAACCACCAGCTGCTGCTGGGCTGCCATCACAAAAAGACTTACCTGCTCACCTTCTCCAACCTGGATCCAGTCAATGCTCTGACCAGGGAAGCCATCCTTGAAACCGTTTTGCGCACATTTGACACTGCAGACTATGGTTCGACTGCTTGCGTGACGCATGCCTGTGTTTTCCGGGAGCAGCATGGCAGTGGACAGTTGCATTTTCATGTGGCTACTGCGTTGTCGGAACCTTGCCGTTGGGCGGTTGGTCAAAGCCGGCTATGTTGCGCACTTTGCAAACATGGCGATTGATGACCACAGCAAGCACCGCAAGATGCAGTATGTCCATATGTTGCGGTGCCTCTGGTTACCATCCGAGCACAAGGGCTTGTCAGCCTCAGACAAGGGTCCATTGTTGTGGTGCTGCGGGGGCTGGAAGCATCCGCCACTTCTGGATGCGATAAACGGCGTGCTGGAAAGTGTTGCAGTTGAAGAGAAGGTGGCCGAGCGTTTTTTGCAGCGTTGGGCTGCCGGCAAGCGCGGGCCATGCAAATTCTCTGACTTGGAGCTATGGCCGATTGCGACGCAACTTGGCCTACAAGCCGGTGACCCTGTCCTACTTGCTAAACTCCTGCAATTCCGGCAATGAGAGGCTCTTGACGTATCTCTTCCGCAACAGTGGCAGCATCCGAGAGAAGGTTGGGATGCGTTGTGCATTGGAGACTTGTGACCAAGTCGTTGCAGATGCCCAGACAACGACTTGGAAACGCTTCACTTCCGCCTTGGACCAGCCATGTTGTTGTGACAGAACGTGGGCGCCAGCTGCCCGCGAGATTCTTCGAAACAATGGCATTGACGAGGGGAAGCTTTGTCAACATTTGCGGTGTGCGCTTCTGTCCGGCCTCCAGAAAAAGGGAGACGTCTTGTGTTTTACCGGCTCTGGAAATGAGGGCAAGAGCTTCGTCCTGAAACCGCTGTCTATGATTCTCCAACGAGTCTCTTGGCGTGGTACTTTCCCATCACATGCTCTTTGGTTTTCCATTTTTCCCAGAGCTCGAAATCATACCCCAAGAGCTTTTGAGAGATAAGTCCGAGCGACGGTAAACATGCATTGCCGGGATTCCAGTGGCGGAGAAGTGGCCATGTTTTCGGTGATGTGTGTGTGGTACCCCGTCTGGAAGTTTTGTGACCATTATTGTTGTATACGCGACATCGAGCCATATCATGGGTATTATGGTGGGTTGATTTTCAGAGTGTTTTCAATCTTGTGGCTTTATTGAGAGCATCGCAATCCATGTTGGTGAGAAACAACAACAAATCATTTCCAGATTCTCAGTTTTTTTTCGCCTGACTCATATGTGTTCGGGCTCTCCTTTTGTATGGAAACGGCCCTGTGTGCCCACGTCAGACAAGCCCAGGTTTTCTATGCTCCAGCTCGAGGCTCATACCCTTCGTTGGATTTGCCACAGGCGCAAATCTGCGTCTTGGACGATTGGAGGCCTGATAATGGAGCGTTGGACGTAGGTTGTACGTTGCTATGGCTCGAGGGTGCCAAGCTGCGCATCAATCGTCCTTTGAACCTGTATAGTGGTCACCTTGATTTTCGGCCGACGCAACCCACATTCATCACATGTAATTGGCAAGCGTTGCATGTGCCCATAGGGCGCTGGACCGAAAGTGAACTGCTTATGCTCCGGTCAAGGCTGACTATTTACTATTTCCACCACAGAATCCAAAGTTTGAAGGACATCCCAACATGTCCATGCTGCTTTTCGATGTTTGTGCTCTCCAGTCAAAAGAATGTAACCAAATTCACTGCTGCAGGGTTCCCAACAGTGTAGCATGTCTGGCCTGATTGTCCCTAATTCATTGTCTAGCCAAGCAGCTCTACGAGTGCATCGATTGGCTTTGTTTACCGACGAAGGAATAGAACTATTTACAAGTCTGTGTTAGAAACCTCGCACCCCGCAGTCAAAGTTGTTTGTTTCAGTGGGCCTTGAGCCGCGCGCAGCTCTCATGCTGTAGAACAATTGTGTGCAAGTAATTCCTCGCAGAGGGAAAGACAACATTGATTCAGAGGGGCGCGGGGAGGACGGCCGCATGTGGTTGACATCTCTAGCAGTGTATTATGCACCTTCTCACTGTGTATCTGATTGCTCCTTCCTCATATGGCTCCTTCCTCATATTGTTTCTTACCTGTTCTGCATCTACTTCTCTTTTCTGTTGCTGCAGCGCTTCCCATGCAGACGGTTCAGCTTCTGGAGCTCAGGTTTTGGGCCTGCTGTGGTGCGCGGCGCAATCGTATTGAGACCATCGTGGGGGACGGAAAAAGGGCTCTCGTTTCGGAGGATCAGCCAGCTTCGCACTTGTGGCCCCTGCTTGTATATAAGTATGTGGGCGTAAGCTACTTAAAAGCTTCTACATATGGATAGCTCACACACTATAGTGATTTGCTTCCTAATTGTTTGGAAACAAGGATGATAAGTGCGCATGTGAAACACTGTCACTGTCGACAGAAAGCAGGCACCGCTTCGAAACAGCTCGTTGAGTGCTCCAACCCTTTGGAATATCGTCTCATCACAGACCTTTTCCATGTTGGCGGCTTCGCCCTGCGCGACCCGCGAGTTCACGCGGAGCAGCGAAAACGCTGCAGAGGCAACTCCGCGGAGCGCTCGGCACGACAAGCACTCCTCGTTTAACGAAGCTGAAAAACCACCGAATGAGATGCCCACACCCACATCATTCTCAGTCCCTTTCGATGCTGGGCAAAATGAAACCAAGATCAGCTCCCTCCCCGACCTCCAGCGAGGTCTTCTGCTCTAACAGGTCTTCGCCTGATCAAAAGCTGTGAACAAACCCTGGCACCCTGGCGAAAAAAACTTAAATAGACCGAATAGGGAAGTGAGTGTTCGGATTTCGAGTCATTTCTGGCTCATGCAGTTGGCATGAAGACAGCATTGATGTGAGCCTGGATGTGTTTTTCAATCCCTCACCTTCATCTCAGTTGCGCGCATTTATCAGCACCTTTGGAGGCTTTCTTTTTCTCGGTGATCTGGCTTTGGACCTTGTTCACCTCAAAATGCAGCTCGAACTGATAAGATGACATCTGGTGGCTGGGAAGGAAAAACATCACAAGAAGCAGTTGAAGCCTCTTTTCGCTTCTCATCCAACTGGAACTTCTGCTTCACCTTGAATGAAAGCGCGGCGGATCCACAAGCCATGAAGAAACTGCTTCGAAACAGACCTCCAACGACCCCCTGGCATCCACCCACCGTCCCATCTTCGAAACGGAAAACGGCGGCCAGGAGGTGTAGGCCTATAGCCTAGTAGGCCTATAGGGTATGTCTCAAACAGAAAGACCCTGCAAACAGAAAGGCCCATTGGGAACCACTTCCTCTTCTTTCTTTCGCTAGCGAGCACTCTCTCTCTCTCTCTACTTACTTCCTTCGTTTCACCCATGGCAACAGGCCCCGCCCAGTTCGCGTTCCGGACCCAAAGGGTGTCCAACTCCAGGACCTGGTCGATGAGCTTCGGATCGCCTCGGGGCCGTGCGATCGGCCGCCGCAGCGCCGAGCACGATCCGCTCTCTCTCTCTCAGGCGGCGACGAAAGCGGCGCTTCTCCGACTCTTTCACCAACTGGCGACGTGACGCGGCGGCGAAGAAAGGAAGAAAGGACGGAAGGGGCAGGGGTCCAAAGGCACGGCGGTGCGGCGTGCGGGTCGAAAGCGGCCGAATCAAGGAAGAACAGGACAAAGTGATGATGTGGTCTTCTATCTTTCTAAGAATTGTTCTGCCTGAAACAGGATTTGAGTCGAAAAAACTGTGCAAAAATGTTGGGCCAACTCCACGGAATGCTCAAAGAGCGAGCCCTAGGATTCCGGGCCCACCATGGAGTGATGTACCCTGGGAGTCCAGTCGACTATCACATGAATGGTCTGACACGGTGACCCGAGTCAAGGAATATGCTTTACTTCAGTGGGGCACAAAATATAGTCCAACTGGACTTCTAGGGTGTATATACAGCATTCAAATTGGGCTTATATACTAGGACCCACAAGGAATGGTTAATGGACACCCCTTATCAATAGACACCCCGTGTCCGGGTGTCCTGGTATAAGGCTTTAACAGGCTTTAACCGAACATCCATGAAAATCCTGATGGTTGTAGACGACCTGGTCGGTGATTCTACCAAACTCCTTGGAATCGGTCGTTCTCCTCCCGAGTTCGCTGCTTTCCGACGCAGATCTCCGGACCCGTGGGCCCGTGGCCCCGTCTCGGCGGCGCCTCGGGGTCTCCTCCCTTGTCCTTCCGAAGAAGATCGATTCCAATGGTCATGGCCCTGGAGCGAAGGGCGACCCACGCGTCGACGCGCCGCCCTGGAGCGAGAACGACCCAGCGTTTCGGGGGGGGCGGGGTGTGTTATCGGCATCTCGGGAGGGTTCTGCACATGTTCTGCACATGATGCATCACAAATGTGTATAGTGTATAGACTGGAAATTGATCCAAGGACTCGTGGTACAGTTCAAATTGTCAATTTCATGGCCATTCAAATCCCAAACAACAAAGAAGCCATCACATCTTTACTGCCCAGACGCTCCAAACAGCCCTTGGTCCCTCAAAACCTAGGGATTTGAGACCCCAGACCCCTCCATATATGAGGGTCCGACCCCTCCATATGAGACGGCGAATCCTCCTCAAGTCCGAACTGATCGCTCGTCCCGTCGTCCCCCCGTCTCCGTCTCCGTCTCGCCTGGCCCGCAGCCGGGGCACCCAGGGGCGAAAGCTCAGAATTCCGACCTTTTCAGAAGGGTCGTCCAAAATTGGGAAGAGCCTTGAGCCAGAATCGGCTGGGTCCACCGGCCTTTACGGCGATTTCCGCGATTCCCGCAATTCGATCTGGCGCGCGCATGGCCGTTTTGAGGATGGACAAAAAGCCGCATGTGTTCAAGAAACGATGGGGGAGAGGAGGACGGACGCGGAGTATCCTCGGAAATGAGGTCTATAACTAGTCCAAATATATTTTGCCCCACTGAAGTAAATTACTTATAATCTTTGAATAGTCTTGGACTTGCAGGGAATACATAATAAAAGCAGTTGAGAAAGTCTCGGTCCTTGTCTTACTCATTGCTGCCCTTGATGGTCCTTGTCTCTACCCCGCACTTGACTGTGTCCGCTGACTGTGTCATTCTTTTTCACCCATGGGGGGCCCGGTGATCTCGGACGGTGGCATGGTGCCATCCGACACCTCGGCAGGTGCCTGGGTCGATCAAAACAGAGGCCGGCCAGGACCGCACGCAGGCATGGTCCGTGGCGAGACGGAGACGCCGCGCTTCGCTTCCCCTTTCTCGAAACGGAAGCGGAAAGCCGAAGGCGGGTGATGCATGTAAAGCTCGGCCCCCTCTGTGACCCCTTTGTTGGGTGAATTCGCCCCACCGAGATCTTCTTTTGTATAGAACTGCTCCATGTCAAATTGATCGTCTTACTGTCTCTATCTCATGTTTGCCGGGAGAAAGGGCAAGCGAAGTCACGCTGACAGCAACTAGACTCGAGCCAGCGCAGCCTGCGCCCTGACCCCGGACAACTTTTGGCCCTCAGGAAAAGATTGCTCGTGAGCAAAGACCAGCAGATCTGGCGGCGAAGGAAATTCTTCGACGTCGAATCTGCGAAACTCTGGAAACAATGAGACCTATACAAGGGTTCAACATGGAGGGGCTTTCAAAAGCCTTGTCTGTCTCATCTCTCTCACTGTCTGTGTGCATGATTCATGTCTGTCCAGGAAAAACTCGACGTTTTGCGGCCTAAGACGAGGTGCTTTCCTCGCCGCTCCTCGGGGTCATCGGACGTAACCCCCGCTGTAAGTGCCATCGCCGCCTGGAGCGCTCGGGTTGTTCGTTCTGTTCTCGAGAGCCTGTGATGAGACTCGTCGACGTGACGATGGTTGGGTTTTTCCGCTTTTGAAAAGGGGCGAGCCTGGGAACCTCCCCACCCAACTCGGGGTTTGGAACCCAACTCGGGGTTTGGAACCCACTCGTTGATCGATCAAAACGGACGGGATTTGGATTTGACATGATTTGACCAAGTGTCAATGGGTATCACTCACGGACCCTTGAGACAGACTCCTTTGACATGAACTATAGTGGCCTCCCAGGTGGGGTTTTCTTTTCACGAGCTCCCAATTCCGGAAGTAAAACCAAATCACGCCTACCAAGTCTGCCCTGAAGGCATGTCGACTTCTTCAGTTCAGCATCCCAAGTCGGACCTGAAATCCGAATCGATGGATCTCGAAGTCCTTCTGGAGTCGATGAGTCTCGCTCGCGGTCACGTTTCCGCGTGACTCGGCCATTTCGGCCGGGGCCTCCATAGGAGTCGTACCCGGTATTTCCTGGAGTCCGAGGATGAGGGACTTCGGCGGAGGGACCGGTATCATCTTGACCGAAACATGCACCACCCTCGCTCCAAGGATCTCCCCTAAACGCTTCCCCTTGTGGGAGTCCTTGAAACGCCACTGTGAACACTCATGGATTGTAAAAAGCTCTTCGTATAATAATCGGGGGTGATTCATCGAGATTCTACATGTTTTCGGAGGGCCGGGCCCTATGGCCTCATGGAGAGAGCAATACCCTTTGTCATGGAGACCGTCACCACGACTCGTCACGGAGTTTCAAGTCTTCTCTCGCAGGCGCCACGTGTGCCTTGAGCGTATTTGCCGCCCCACTGTCCATCGAGGTTGCCTCAGCGCCGTCTCCAGGCGCCACAACCGCCGAGACGTTGAGGCGGAGAACGCGTGCGCGCGCGGATTCCGTCGGCTTTGCGACGCCAGGATGTTTGGGCGCCAGGTGGCCATAACCTCCACCTCCGCCACCGCCTCCTCCTCAGCGAGAAAGATTCTGAGTGGATGCCCGAAGTTTTTCAGGACTCAAGTGATCTGCAACTCACAAAGCCTCTGGTGAAGCAGGCTAAATGGGTTGCCCGTCCAGTTTTGTTGGTCCGTGATCGATGAACTCCCCTAACAGGCACCACAGGGTCTCAAGATGGCGAGCTGGACTAAAAGCTTGTGACATGTGCCATACTATAAGGATGAGGCCGGACCAAAAGCGACCGAAATTGCTCGTCTCAAAGAGTCTCCAAATACAACCCTAACACGGCCACACATTCTGACACAAACAACAACAAATAGGACATGTCTTTCTTTTCTTTCGAAAATCGTCTCTTCCGGGTCACATTCCTTCTCAGGTCACGGGTCAAACCGACTCGTCGGCCGAAAGAAGACGCGTGGTGACCACGCGTGACCATGTCCACCGACAGTGGCAATTGGAAAACCACCTGGACCAAAATACCAAGCAGCCACTTAGTGTACAGGATCTCAAGCTGCCGCCGCTGGGTTCCAGAACCGTTTCTGGCTGGGACTGGGACTGCCAAGCACTTTGGAAGGAAAGAAGAAATCTAGAACCAATCACTGTAATCACTTCAAAGTCATCCCAAGTCAGCCAGACTCCTCTCCAACCAGCAGAAAAAACCTTGAAACACCCCTAAAACGCATATAGCCTCCCGATGTCTTCACCCGTCCCGATTTCGAAGCTCTCCACCCGAGCAGGTCTCCCCCCGGACTGGAAAGGTTTCTATACCGGACCGTTGTCACAAACATCTTGAACATCGTTCCAAACTGATTTGGGGCAAAGGGCTGTCGTTGCTTCCGTCCCGCTTGGACCGTCCCATGGACCTCTCGGACGACTGCGTCGGACTGCGAGTCTAGCGTCCGACGCCCCAGGACTGGCCGATGCTACCCCGGGCCAAATCCCGCAGCTCTGTCGGCACTTCCTCGCGACATCGACCGAGGTCTGCTGTCGATGTCGTTGATGTCTTCGGCTCTCGGCTCGGCTCGGGTTGTTCCCTAAGGGGATCGAGCCGAGCTGAGCGGGGTCGAGCTGGAGTCGGAGTGAAGTCGCATGGAGAGACATGAGGAGATGAGAAAAATCACTTAAGTTGGGAGTCAAAGAGTATGAAAAGAAGGGTCTGACTACCTGAGAGGGAACTTCACTTCAGTTGGTCAAAATATGTCATTCGATTTGGTATATAGATTTAGTGCACAGGCCTCTATGTGGAGCATCACCCTAACAGTTTTATGTGGAGAGTGACGTGACGGGTGAACTTCTGCAAATGATTGACTGGTAGCCACTTACAAGTACTATAGTACAGTACGGTATGAATCAGAACCAATGAGGTCCGAGCGGCTCTTGCTTGCGTTGAACCAACCCCGCACACGTGACCGGCATTCTTCGTCCGAAACTACCGTAACCGTCCGCAGGTGCAGGATCGCGCGGTCCTGCCCGGCTTTGATAAACATTTTCATGATTCCATTTGCGATCCTCAGCGCAGCCAAGCCGGCAACAGGGGACCAGCCACATCAGGGATGGACGTCACCACACCGGTCGTGAAGGATCGGGTGCTCTCTGTTTTCTTCACGAAAAGAAGGGTTTGATCCCAAACGAGTGAAGAGGACTCCTGTCGCGTGGCACAGACATCTCCCAACCTCCCCATGAACCCGACATGGTGTGTTCGTGGTCGCCGGTGAACGAGCACACTTCCTTCGCGTTCGCGTTCGGGCGCCCGCACTGCGTCTCACTCTCGTACAAGCAAGTGTAAGCATCACCTCCCGGGTTCGGGGCTCAGTGCTTTTCACCCGCGAACCCGCGAACCCATCCTCCGTGTTCCAGCCTCGCCGATAAGGGACGGACCCCTTTGAGTGACATATTCTTCCCACAGCCCTTGGTCCCTCAAAAACCTACCTGGACCTGAAAAAGGTAAAGGGGTGTCCTGGACAGGGAGGTCCCTGATCGTAGTGGGCTGGGGCGAAACCAGCCAGGTGACCCCGACATGAAGGTGCTGGTAGGGATTTGAGACCCCCAGACCCACTCGGACCGGTAACAAAGACACCGCTCGAACCGCTCGGGCCTTTCTCACCGGCGCGGCCTGTACGGCCAATTCGGTGGACGTAGTCCTGATCGGTGGCGAAAACCACCGAGGTCGGAATTGCAGTCGCCGCGCCGGAATCGAAGGAGGTCCGAGGGTGGGGGCCAAAGGAGCTGGAAGCTCGAAGCTGAAGGTTCATAGCTGAAGATCATATACTTCTTTCGAAGTCCAAGACGATTTTTGGGTGACCCTAAGTTCGGAATATCCACTTCGGTGCCCCAAATCGTCGGACTTCTAGCTATCGACCTGGTCGCTTTGGTTGAGACGGAGATGTTTGCTTCAGACCGCGAGCTCCGGCTCCTCCATGTTCGCGGGTGCATCATAATTCACCACGAACTGGACCTAGGTGAGACGACGCGACTCGACTCCCCCAGGACTGAGGAGGCCATCCACGTTCCAAACCTTTGCTTTGCCTCCTATAGTTATACAGAGCATGCAGGGGCATGCACGGTGACATCCTGTCAGCCCCTGAGTCGGCACCTGATGGAATTCCTTGGGCTAGTCTATAGGGAGCGATATGTAATTCTCTTCCTTCACAACCAGCCCCAGCCTTCTGAAAGCTATCGCGATGGGACAAAAACAGCCCGGAACAGATGCGCGACAGTCGTATTCGCGAAAAACATGGGCGGGAAGATGATTGGGGTGGATGCCAGGAAGGTCTGTGCCCAGTGAACCTGAGGATATTGGCCAGGAGCCCTATATACAGGATCAGAACCACTGAGGTCGCGCACGTTCTTAATGTCCAAACCCCTCTGGGCCACGTCAGTAGCCACTAGCACCTGGCTGGAATTCATGACGAGATCTTCTACGAAAAGCGCGGATAGCGTGATCCTGGCAGCGGTGTTTATTCACCCGTTTGATGTCTTCATGTCTCAAAAGAAGTACGTCCTTTTGTCGCAAAGGACGGAAGAAAGTGATCAGCAAGATCCTCAAAATAAAAAGAAAGGTCCGCGCTGTCTATAAACCTCCAAGAACCTCTCTTTTGGGCGACAACAAGAAGCACCTAGAATCTAGAAGCACCCTCAAGGCCCAACCATGGCCTTGGCTTTTCCGTGTTTGAAGGCATAAAGCGCATGATCTCGCTGGCTCTGGTCCATGTCGCCTCAATGCGCGGGCTGAAGTAGGTGCGGTATACGGCAGCTTGGCGCAGTGAATCGGGTCGTGTGAGCCGGAGATGTCCGAAGCTTCGGGTCGTCGGCAGTCAGAAAGATGCTCCACCCGTGAGTGAAAACAGCCCTTTCCCGAGGGCCAGGCAAACCACGATGTCGCTGGTAACCAGTGGTAAGACTAACACCAGTTCGACCGGTTCCGAATCCCTGGTTCCTTATATAGTGGTTTTCCTGGGATGCACTGGGCGCCATTGGTGAGACACCCCAAACGTCTGCACTCGGCTGCTTGGCCGGTCTGGGCCATCACGCCCGGATCCGAGACCATATCCGTCGCCCCGGGGGGCGCGGGTGAAGGGAGGAAGGGGCGGCTTTGGACACTTCCCAGACGCTCCGTGAACGACGGCCCAACTGGGTCCCGAACCAAACCGGGTTTGGTTCAGGTCCAGACCCTGACATAGGATTCGGGTCCGACCCCTGCATATGAGGGTCCAGGAGCGTCTGGGTTAACCATAAGTGCTCTGCAAGTGACTCTTGGGAAGGCGGCCTCTGCAAGGTGGAACCAATGAACCCCGAACAGATCTGGTCTGGGCTGAAGCCGTTGGGCTTCGGCAACCGGTTCTGAAACATCTTGTGGCCACTTGTTTTGGGCCATGACCCCTGATGACCATGACCCCCGATGGGACGAGCCAAACCACCCTGAGCGACCTGTGACTCCTAGGATGAAAAAAGACGCCGATAAATCGCGCTCCATCCGCTGAGAAAGGGACCATGTAGACAAACAATGGGTGCACCCGCCCGAGACAGCCTTGGTCGAGCCGAGGTCCGCGATGGGAAGCTCAGATGGTGGGAACTCCCTGGGTCCTGACTTTTGAGCTGTACGGTCTAAGAAGAATATATATCCAGCAGTCACAAAGGGGTGCTGAACAGAGGTTAGGGCTAGGGGTGCCTATTGTCCATGCACTCACTGGATGGGACTAAACACCACCCCGTCTTGTGACTCCTGGATGACAATATATAATTGAAAATATGTGTAGCTTGTATATTCTTACCATCCTGGCACCTTTTGGTGGATCAAACATGATCAAACCGTGCACCAACGATGCTACATGTCTGCCTCTTCATGAAAATACGTCAAGTTCAGTTGCATGTCGTTGCTTCAAAGACCACGTACTGTACCGTCTGATCCGTCTGTGTCCCGCACGTGTGGTACAGTCCTGCAGCAGCCTTGCCAGCCGTGACTCGGGCGGCTCCATCCCGCTCCGTCAGGGCGCCCACTTCGATGGTTGGCAAATCCCTCTGACTCAGCACCATGATGGTGTTGAAATGTTTTGAAGAATGTTGGCACCCAGATGGCACCCAGTCAGGTCGACCTGGCACCCCCCCGAAATGGAACCGACCAGCGGCCGCGGACCGACATCGGGTCGCGACATCCGGGTGTTGTGATCGGATCCTTCGAAGCGGAAGTGGCGTGCGCCTTCTTCGTCTTCACAAAGATCAAGGCGGCACCACCGCTCCTCGCGCTTTCCACGCGCGCGGAAGTCACCCTCCCTCCCCATCCATCCAACGCAGTCCCAGACTCAGTCAGACGGCGTTGGAAGGGCGATCAAATCGGCCCCAAAAGACGGTGAATCTGATTCGGTGCAAAGACTGAGCCAAAACGCTTCCATATGGTGTGGTTCACACCCTCTAAAGCGTCATTTCCGTTCTTCCATTTCCTTCCAAACCTCTCTCTCTCTCAAACCCGAAACGTGCGTCTCTCTCCCTCCGCCGCATTCCGCCGGCTCCCGCCCCGCTGCCGGGACGGCTCCGCCGCATTCCGCCGGCTCCCGGATCGCTCGAGCCGTCGCGGTAGAACGATCCTCTGCAAATCTGGGAAGATTTGGCGCTCCAGGAAGCCCATCTTGTCTTGCTCGTTCCGAACTTTGATCTCGAAGCGAGCGCAGCACAAGAACTACCAACCCGCGCAGCAGAGTCGGGGTTGACGGGTGTGCAAGAGAGAAGCAAAGGCGTTGAAAAAAGGGCCCAGGGGCTTGTAGGAGTGTGTTCATCCATCGGTGTTTTGTTCGCAAAAAAACATGAATAATGTGTATAAGGTTGCGCGGTTCTTTGACCACCTCGTTGGATCTTGTTGAGCTAAGCTGGGCCTTTTTCAACTAACCAACCAAGCACCCGAGCTTCCGTGTTCCGCGCACACCGGAAACCACCGGTCGGGAGAGCTCTCCATCGCAGCTCTCATCTCGGCTGAGGAAGCGGCGATGTGCTGACTGATATCGGCATTGGCGCTGGCGTTGTCTTCGCTGCCCACCTGACGCGTCAACGTCGAGACACGGTTTTGCAGCTCCGCTCTCAGGAGACGAGCGGTCCGGCTGGCCCAACAGCGCACCAAACCGGGTTCCATGTTTCATAAGTGTGCCTCGTTTCCTTGATTAGCTTGATTCCTGGTCCTGAAACAGCTTCACGACCTGTGTGGCGGCACAGATCTGTGAACGCCGCACGCCCTCCCCCAGGTGTCTCCGACTCCTCACCTGGGACCGCCGCACCCCTCCGCACCCGGTCGACGCACACGTCGACGCGCGTCTCCTCCCGCCTGGATGTGAGTGGGGTCCTAGCGACGAGCATGTGCGGAAGCCGATGGGGTTTTGTCGCGCGGGCTTCCGCCGGAACGACCCAGAACGAACTTCCAACGGCTCAACAAAACAGCACCAAGTACCTGGACCATCCGACCATCTGGGTGTGCTGGCTGATTTCTAAGCTGAGGGCACTCCAGCCAGACCCAGACAGGATGGTCCTGGTATACATATAGCATGTTATAAGGTGTTATAAGTCATGAGTCATGATTGTTGCAGGGTAAAAGGAAAAATTGGACTTACAGGCCAGACTTTTCATAAAACCTCCCCAGACACGATCTCTTCCACCCTTCTGGTTGGGCGTGCAATGATTTTTGTTGGAAAAAGATACAACACATGCCATCTTGCAAATGATTCTGCCGAACTTGGCTGGTGTTTACAAATAAAAAGGCAGAAATCTTGCATAGTTCGAAGATCTATGTGGGCCATATGGGTATATCTCCGTTCTATCCAATTCTTTGTTATGCCGTTAACGCAGATACGTGTGCTCACCCGACAGGCAGTCACCTCCCACGGCCGACGCCGTCGGAATCACTCACGAGTGACTCGGACTGAGAAGCCTTGGGGTATATCCTATTCAAACCCTGCTTTCCAGAAGCCTATAGGTTTCCAGACCAAACGAATGGGACTGAAAGAGTTCCATATTGACCTTGGGATACCTTGGGGGTATATCCTATTCCCTTATTCCCTGGGCCCAGTGGATGATCATGAAGCCTGGGCCTTGCAGGCCTTGCTCCAACCTCGTGATTTGCTTCACCGACTCGGCAAATCGCCACCAGACCGGCCCCACAACGTATGAACGCTCGCAGCTCTCCGCGGTCGCAGCTCTCAGCTCTCCGCGGTCGCAGTTCTCTGCTTCAGCTCGCTCCTTGGTGAGCTGCATGGCAATTTGCTTGACTTCTCTGGGCCATGTCGCAGTGTAAAGGGCCGTCTGACGCACCTGGCCGGCACGAGACGACCGAGACGACCGAGGCGACCGAGACCGACCGGCGCCGGTTTCGCTGGGTTTTGGGCGGGGGAAGGCATCGGGAGCCCGCAGTTGTAGGGCCTGTGGTGTATCAATTCTGTGGCTTGGCTAGGTTTCCACACCCCTGAAAAAAGGTCGCGGTGGTAGTTGGAATGAATTCGCGACCAGTATGGCAGCGTACATCTCCCCACTTGAAGCCACTCTCAAGGTGAACCCCAAAAACAACAGAAGAACAAGCCTACCCGCTAGCAGCTAGCACCACCCAGTTCCAGTGTTTGATCAACACCCCTGACTATGTCATGTTCCTTCCAAGAACCACCCAGTTCATGGGTGCTGCTGTGAACTGTAGTCATTAAGTTTGCATGTGTCCTTCGTCGAAACTCGACGCCTGAGGTAAGAAGGCTGCCAGCTCTTTGATTTGCGGCTCGAAGCCCATGTCAAGCCTCAACGACCCATCGCCGAATCACCATCCCTCGAGGCGATCGCTCTCCCAAAAGCCGCGCTTGGCGACGACCAAGCGCTGCCTTTGACCGCGATCCTCTCTGGTCCAGCGACCGAAGCGGTGTCCGGCTCAAGCGCTCAAGCGCTGAAACCGCACCAAGCGACCTGTGTCCCCACTGTGTCCCCACCTTCGGCATCTTCGGCGCCCCAAAAAGACCAAGACCAGAAGAACGGAAACAAGACTATAGAAAGACCTGCCGGTCGGACGGAATGGTCGCTTTCACCTGGCTTCCACCGCCTCCAACGGTGACTGAGACTCCGGCATTCGATCAGCCTGTCCAAGCGAAGCGCCACTCGCTCGCGCGACACGAGCTCGGGAATTCAGCACTCGGTTCACGCAAGCGTTGCTTGGTAAAGACTGTTGTTGTTTCACAGACATGGTTCTGTTCTTTTCCTTGCACTCAAGGGTCCAGAATGATCCGGTTACCAGGCATGTGGATCGTATGGATCCCATGAAGACGACCAGCACCCTCCATCAGGTCAGACTCCGGTGTCATACTTGAAAGTGGCCAGTGGTGCCCACGCTTTCGTCCAGTGCCTCCGGCCTCCGGAAATCCCAGTCGTGGTCCGTTCGACGCTGCGTGGACGCGCTGCGTGGCACTTCCGCAGCGTTGCGCCTCATCTAGTACCAGGTAGTCGCAAAGCTGCAAGTCGATGGTCCGGTCCTGCCAGCGGCGCTCCGTCGGACGCTTCGATGGAAGAAGAGTCACGTCCTTCGTGAAAGACGCGGAAGCAAGAAAAACCTGGAAGCCAGTGGAGGGCAGGTTAACCCTGTTCAAGACCCTTTTCTGGCAGGTTCTCTATGGTTCTCCATCATGGTTTCCCATTTGTCACGGACCGGTCGGCTCCAAAAAACGCCGCATCTCGACGAAAATCTTGACGCGCTTTTTCGATGTCTACTCCCTAGACTTCCGGCAACGACCATTTAAAAAAAAAAGGGAACGACCCGCGGTTTGTAGTGTAAAATCCTTAAGATTCGGGATGACCAGCCTATTCAATTCGTCATGGTGGGCCAGCAAGCAGCCCTCTGGCCGGTGGTTTGAACTGCTCGGCTCCAGCGGTTCAATCCGCGGGTCAGGTCGGTCACTGGATCTCACTTTTCTCGATCCGTCGAGACTTCCACCACACAGAGCGCGTGATAAGCTGATAAGCTGACACAGACAGTCCAACCACCATCGTTTTCATGGTGCTTCCTCCCAAGTTGCCAGGTGCCGATGTGCCGGTGCCAAAGGCCGGAGCCTTTAACCAACCCCCACCCCCGGCTCGGTCGGCCGGTGCCCCAACGACCCGGAGATCCGAAGATCGGCCGTCCCGCAAGAAGTCGTTGAGCCGCCCGGGGGTCGCTGCCACGCACTGGGGGCCGTTGCGCAGCCTGGCGGAGACTGGGGAGCAGAAGCAAAGGGTCCAGTTGAGAATCGATGGATGGAATCAGGGATCATGAATGGCTCCAAGAATCATTTGATAGGTCCAGTCAAAGCCTCTTGTAAGGCTCAATGAAGAGTGGGGCAGCCGCGCGACCGATGGCGTGACCAACCAGGTATCAGTCAGCACTCACCACTCGCTGATGATTCGCTGCGAAAACGAAAAGAAAGGATTCAAACACCATCGACTCCGAAGAACCCCTTGCCGGGGGCTATCCCGGTCCCAACCATTGTTTTACTCAAGGATTTTAGACCCCAACACCAGGGTAACCATTTCTTGAATGATCTGAGATCAATTTCTGCGAGAAATCCAAGTTTAAGCAAGCTCAAAGCCAGATTGTGTCTCAACAACTGCCCATTAAAGGTACATCTCCACCATTTCTGCACCAGTTCTCCTGTTTCACATGCCAGATGTGCTGTCTCTGCTGTTGGTTCTTTGGCGCACCACCATACACGCAGGCAGTGGCGATCTGAGCTGGCTTGCCAAACCTCGCTTCGGTCGGCCCCGACGCGAGGTTTAACGTGACGGGTCGCGTCTTCGCCTTGTGGGTTTTGGTGGGATAGGGCATGGTTCTCGCTGTTTGTGGTTTCATCTGTCGTGCATTTCGCATATCATCATGGGCGCCGAATGATAATACGAAATACCAAGTGATCAGTGATGTCTTCAGACTCTGGAAAAACACATGTCCGCCTCATCAATTTGGTAGATGATGGCAAACCCATGGCATCGTTCTTGCTCATCTCAAGCTACCAACCCAACCTGGAACCCCAAACAACCAGAAAGAAGCGGATGTTTCCCCAAACAACCATTTCCCATGTAAAGGATTTCAATTGCCATATTGGAACAACCATTTGTTTCTGGTTGGGACTGGGGTTCCAGGAAGATCCGTCGTTTTTCCGCCGCAGGACTCCACAGGACCCCTCGGTCCAAGCGGCCGATCACTCTCCTCATAGATCTGCTGGCAAAGCTCTCCTCCGACGGCAGAAAGGAGGAACGAGGAACGAGGACATGGACAAAGCATGCACATGTCCGTCTCATGTCCGTCTCATGTCATAGATCTATAGGTATATCCAGGTGTCGTCTTCTGAATGTTGCATGAAATTATGGTGAAATCAGATGTCATTTCTTGTTTTTTTGTTGCGCATGTCGTGTGACCCAAGCAAAACTCTGATCATGAAGGTCCGACGTTTTGGGCTCCCTCAAGTCTCCTGTTCTGGTGATTTCAAGAACCAAACCCCTAGACTTCCAAGACCATGAAAAAGATGGTTCATCTGGCTTTGTAGTGCAAAACCCTTAGTAAAACAAGGGTGGTTCGGGATTCAGCCCATTAAATTCATGGTGGCTAGTGGAATCCTCTAGGGTCCTAGGGAAGCTCTGACGATCACCCGGGAAGGATGTGGGTAGTAGGACCGGGTAGGACCCTAGTCCCAGTCTCTTGGTCCCACCCGAGATCATTCCCTTCACCAACAGGGCAAGTGGCTTGTGGGTGCCATCACCAACATGGCAGGACCTCTGTCACATCCTCAGCGTTCGATGGATGTGTAGATGGGAAGCAAGGACCATTGGAGTCCGGCCAAGGGATCAAATCAAGCTCAAGATCCAAGCTCAAGATCGTGTTCTCCAAGTGATCTACACTGGGGAGAAAAAACAAGCACTTCGGTCTCTCTTCGGTCTCTCTTCGAGCACTTTCTGGGCAAGTGCTCTTAGTGTTTTCTTAGAGATCTAGCTACTAGTAACAAATGCCTTACTACTAGTAACAAGAAGCTACGTTCGTAACAATGTTGGAACTACAAAAAAAGAAACCACGAACCGGGTCCCGGAACCACGGGACCAAAACCGCAACCGCTCTTCGCTGCAGACACCGGGGGAGAGACGTCGAGACGTCCGCTACACCGGGTCCTTCGGTTCCGCCGAAGACCGAACCGGCCGGTTCCGCAGGTCTCTCAACCGGGAGGCGGAGGCCATTTCCTTCTGCGCGCTTCACTTTGATGTAGCCTGTGCAAGCTGTGGAAGGCTGTGGACTTCGTTTCGCTCTCAGCGATCGGGGTGAAAAGCCTTCGCGCTCAAACACGCTCAAACATGCTATATGTGCTCTTGCGCGCGTTGAACGGGAAAAAGGTGCGGTCATGTCTGGTCATGTCTGGTCACTGAAAGGATTGGACCAGGTGGAACCAGGTGGAGGGGATGGTCAACCTGAAAGCCCAAACGAGTTCGACCAAGGGCCGCCTGGAAGGAGGTAGCCGAGCGTCTTTCCACTGCCCGTCTTGGCCACACCAATCACATCCTGCGATGCTGCAAGTGTCGTGCCAATTACTATATAGAGCAAAGCAAATGCAAGGAAACAGTTTCCAATGATTCATGTACACTCCCTGAGAGATGTCCTGGAGGTGGAGGTGGAGTGTTGCAACATGTGAGTGAGTGTTGCAACCACCGAACGTGGATCGAGATAGATTGAAAGTGCGGCCTCCGATTTCTCCGGGGCCTTCCATCTTCCATCCGAACGTCTTCTCCCATGCTTCTTCTAAAACGCTTCAATGTTCCAACACATCCCTCCAACAACACCTGAGACCGCCAGGCTCGACCCTCTCACCATCGTCACCTGGGTCTGGTCTCTCACCATGTCTCGCCTTGCCGGCCATCAGCACCGGCCAGGTATAGGCTTGGATCGGTGTAGGTGCCCTTGGAGCGGACGGGCGTTGGTCCCGGTGGTCGCGCCACAGCGTAACCCGCCACCCGAGATCGTCCATCCGATGGATCTGGAAACGCGATGCTTTGGAGGCCATCGCAAGTAGGTTGGAGGCCTATCGCTACGGACATAAGAATCAGAAGCTATACTATGCTATGCTATACTGTATACTATATACCAGCTGCTTCCAAGGGGTCACCAATGGATATCTCCACCCTACTTACAGGTCTCCATTGGGCCCCCCATAGAAGCGCTAGGTAGTAATAAGTCTTTTTGTTTAGCCGCCAGAAACCAGCACCCCGGAGTCGGGGTGTCCAGAAAAATGCCCCCCCCGATTTGGGGTAGCCTAGTAGACATGTGGGCCATGGCGCTTGAGATCCCTTACATACTGTGCCTAGTAGCTTCTTGTTACCAGTAAGCGATGCACTTGTTACTAGTAGCTTCTTGCATCTCCTTGCTAACGGAGGACGGTTGGGAGGTGCCAAACATCTTTCTGGTTACAGAGCCAGGGAGATGCCATAGCGGCCCGAGCGAGTTGCTCCAGAAGGGAGTTGCGGACTCCGATTTGGAACCGTTCGGAGTCCGCAATGTTTGTCTTGAAGTAACCATCGTGAGGTAAGCCACAGCCATCTTTGTCAGAATCTTTGTTCTCCCAGGGTCTTTGGACGTGTTGAAAAGAGTCCGCAAGTACAACGAATGGACATCAATACCTTTAAGTTCTAGCTTTTCACAACTGTTCCAAGCTCCAAACCTGCAACCTGACACACATCTCAACACATCTCAGGGCGCCGCTTAAATCCTGCATCTTTGAGAAACTGCATGAGCCCCGCAGGGAATTTCCAAGCTCCACAACATTCGTCGAAGGTCCGCCACGGGGTCACGTCCTCCGCTCCGCGGACGGCGGTCCGCGCTGACGTCTCCCAGAGACCGGCAGGACGGCAGGCTGGACGAGAAAGCTGGGTGGACAAGAAGCTCCAATCGACGTGCGAAAAGACAAGAAAACTAAAACAAATTAAAACCCTCTTGTTGCTCCAAAGCGATGAATTTCCAGTGACGTCCGGAGAAGTTTCCGCCTCACCAGTCTAGCCTTCCACTTCTGACGACGACCTTCTCCGGACGGAAAACCAGCGTGGGCGTTCCACGGAGCAAACGCCCAACGAATCCCAAAAGGATGAGACCCCCGCAGCAGACGCGAAGCTCCAGACACTCGCGTCTGCTGAAGGCTCCGAAGCCAGTCCGCGAACGGCGTGACACCGCGTCCGCTCGCTTCGAACGAACGAGCGAGTTCAGCCTGCCCACGGTGGTGAATTCCCGTCCCGGAAAGAACTGAAGGTGCCGGGGCGAACATCGATAGATCGAAGCATGCGAACAACAGTCATGTGTCGAAGCATATGCCACCACCGGCCCCCAAAGAAAAGGTCTCCGGGCCCTAACGGGGGCTCAATTGGTGACCTGTTGGAGGATGCAGTTTTAAAGGGTTGTCAATTGGTGATCAAATTGTGTAAGTTTGTTGCGAACAAACTGCATGTCACCCTGAACCGGAACTCTGCCCGACGAGATCGTTCGGAATCTCTGCCGAGTGCCGAGTCCAGCGCGGGGCGATCGGAACACACAGCTCAGGCCGAGATACCCAACCATTCCGAGTCAATATGATGGGTGTGTATTTGATAGGGAGATCCCCGAACCAATAGGTTTTTGTATCTTGTAGTCTGAGTCCTTGTTTTCAGAAGGTCTTTGCAGGGTCTATCCCTATATTGAAACACACACAATATGATGGTTCTCCTCAAGCCACACGCGATGCCAACCGATCAATGAACTGGACCCCCTGGCTCAACTTCCAAATGCCGTGCGTTCTCCAAATCCTTCGATCCCAAAACTTGTATTGAAATACATTGTTCCAAAACACGTGTCTGTTTGAGTCATGAATATTGGTCAAACCCCCCCAAAACACCAAAAAAGGACCCCCCATTCTACTCACCCACATGAAAAGGGCTCGACCTCCCTCTCCCTCTCCCCAAAAGGTCGATCCTTTGACGTCGATCCACTCCCGGAGAGCGGCGCCTCCCCATTGATCACCCGGACTTTGTCGTCGTCCTTCCTTGCGTTTTCGCTGACGGATGTGCCGGTTGGTCGGTGGCTTTCGGTGGGACGGCGGAAAATGCATCCCAAAAAAACCTGCAAAATCCACCCTGTCTCCGGTCAGTGTAGCAAGTGTTCACTCTCCAGCTGACCGACACATCCAGGTGCATTCCAAGGTTCCAACATTCGTCACCCCAACCAGACATCTCTTCAAACACGGAAGAGAAGAGCCCCACTCTCTGGCTTAGGCCGTGCCGAGCCGAGAAAACGCCCGCAGAAAAGAAAAAAAGGAGCTAAGCACATGCGAGACGAGGCGCAAAGGATCCGCCTGTTTCTGTGGTTTCTGCATGAGAAGAGTAGCCAGCCCCACACAGGTCAGGAAGTGACCTTATTGTACTGAAGTTTATCATACGTACAAGAAACATCAAGAAACACTATGACCATCTATGAGGTAAAGACCAGGCAAAGGACCATCTATCTCTCTCTCTCTCTCTCTTCTTTGCAACTTTTTGCTTCTGCCCCAGCAGGCTCCGGCACGGAGAGCACAGCTGTGCTGCTGAGACGTGAGCACGCCTGCCGACGAATGGCTGTTGGCCGAGCGCAAGTCGTGGAATCGCCTTGCTTTCGTCCGGCGACCAGCATGGGGTGTGGGTCCATTTCCGACCAGCACAAAAAAAGAACAGAGTGAACCCCACGAACGTGGCGTTTTGACTGATTGCATTGGGGGCTTGGCTACATGAAAAAGCCTTTGGCTGCACATCCAGAGACGGCAAACACATCTGACCCACACCCATGGCTTTCACATTTTCTCCACCTCTCGTGTTCCCGGTCTCTTCCGGGGGCGCTTCGGTGTCCTCATGTCCTTCAAGAGGTCCTCAGGTTGGAGGCCATCGCTACTAGGGTGGAGGCCGTCGCTATTGGAAACTATAAGAAAAAGAAAAGCTATAGTTTGCTCTTCAGTTAGAGGCCATCGCATGCCATCGGTGGAGGCCATCGCTAGTGGAAACAAAGACAAAAGAACAGGAAGAATCGTCTCAAACTTCCTACAGAGGTTAACTGACCTTATAGGACCCTACAGGAGTACCTATAGGATAGTCTATAGGGTTCTTCAACCTCTGCTGGTTTGTTTGCTATTAGCTTGGAGGCCATGTGTCCCCCCAAGAGGCCCGGTTCTGCTCCGTCCCCACCAGGTTCGAAGCGGACTTTTCGGAGGCCCCGAGCGGCGTTTTTGTTCGGACGCGACCCGTGAAGGGACAGTTCTGAACCATCAATGACCGGAAAAGGAATATGCTTCACTTCAGTTGGGGCAAAATATAGTCCAACTGGACTTCTAGGGTATAGTTATTTGCATGCAGAATGAACTTCTATCGACATTGGAAGACAACGGCCCTTCGAAGGAAAGACCGTCTTTCAGGATTTCCATCTGAGTTGGGTGATGTCATCTTGATGCATCTGAGCTTGGCATCCCATGGCATCCGGTGCCCATGGCCGCGAGTGAGCGCAAAACTACCGGATCTCTTCGCTGAAGGTGCTCGATGACCGGAGCGAACGAATGTGCTGATTCGGAAGAACCGGTCATTGATGTTGTCATCTTGGTTGGACAACCAGGTGAAGCAGGTCAAAGGAACCAGGTCAACATCCAAATACTGAAACCTTTTGGGTCCTCCTGGAACCCCAGTCCCAACCAGAAACAAATGGTTGTTCCAATATGGCTTGCTTGAAATCCTTTACAATGGGAAATGGTTGGGACTGGGGAAACATGCTTGCTTCTTTCTGGTTGGGACTGGGGTTCCAGGGATCTTGAGCTTCTTCGAAAACACCAATAGGAACTACACATGTCGTTGAGATGCAGAACTGCAGAAAACGAAACAGACCGTCACAGACGTCGCCGTCGCCAGGACGGGAACGAACGCCCGGGTCCGTCCGGGAGCGGGAGTGCCCCTGTTTGGGTCCGGGACGCTCCATCCCTGTGTGTGGTTTTTTTTGGCGAAAGGACCCTAGGCTTCCTGGCCCACCATTGGTTTTAATATAGGCTGGTCATCCCGAAGCAACTAAGGATTTTACACTACAAAACCAGGTCAACCATATTTATTCGGCGAAAGGATCCTGGAGCGTCCTGTCGACAGGTGTCCTGGCGTGTTCGATCCAGTGGAGGGTAGTCCAGCCAGGTGATCCAGGATGGTCCCCAAATCATCTGCAGGAAAAGTGCCAAGCCGAAGGTCGGGCTCTGGACATGGGTGTGTAGCAAAACCTGGCCACGACCCCCTGCGAAAATCGACCAGTCTGACCAGCCAGGGTGGTTGGGTGTCTCCCCAATTGTCCAATTACACACCTACCTGTTGGATCTTCATTCGGCGAAGAGCTTCGGCTGATCTAAAAATTCGGCCCTCATGTCTAGAAGCACACGCACCTGCCGAAGCGAGCGAGCGAACTTCGGCCGGTCGCATGGACCCTGCGGTTGTCAGGAACAGCTCCTCGCGACCCGGCAGCTGGTGATGTCGTGCTCTGCCCGTCCGGCCATTTGGACTGGAATCTGAAGAAAAAAAGCATATATTCTAGTACTACCCCAGAAGTCGAACCACCATTGCTTTACTGAGGGTTTTACAAAATCAGATCAACCCTTTAGAAAATGGTCATTGGACTTCCGGGGTATATATATATATATACCCTTCATATAAATCTGAGTTGGGTCTATCCCATTACCAGTAACAGTGGATGATGATTCGATGGTTAGGTTACAGGCCTTGCTCCAAAAAATCGTGATTTGTTTGTGTACCGACTGTTACAGCTTTGCTGGGACAATCCTTATACGTCTGAACCAACCGCATGTCAAATGACCAGTCTGTGCAGAGTGGCAGACTGGTAGTGGTGGGACGATGCGAACAAGGCGAGGACGGACGGACCGTCGATCGGTCGGATCGATCGGTCGGACGGAGGCCTCACTGGGTCGCATGCTCCATGATGGCCTCCGTGAGGCGTCGAGCGGAACCAGCCGCGGAACCAGCCGAAGCGGTGCGGTCGTCGTCGTCGTTTTGGGGTCGTCTAGAAATCCTGTGGGTTCCTTTTTTGGGTCCCGAAAGAGTTCGGGAATAGGAATTCGAAGCATCCAAAAGCGAGCAATTGCTTGAGAGGTTTTGTCATGGTTTGTCCACCAGTTCCTACTCGGGGTCACTAATGATAAAAGATGCTCCGGTATACGGGGGGGGTCAATTGATGCTCCTCCACAATGCTTGTCACCTACTAGGACCAGGACCATCCTGTCTGGGTGTCCTGGCTGGACTACCCCACACTACTACCCATTATAGGCTTCCAGACAGGGCACCCAGGTCCAGGATGGTCCAGGTACTTCATCCATTGGCAAGCTTTAGGAATCACACAAAAAAAGGAAACAAGACCAATTTGAGCTACGAACGTCACAAAGGAGCAAGGCCGCGAAGAGCAGCACGGAGCAAGCACGGACGACGGACGCCACGGACGGACGCCACGAACGGGTCACGAATTCGGTCACTTCCTGGTTACTAGTAGTAAGGCACTTGTTCCTAGAAGCGTGGCACTTGTTACTACTAGCTTCTTATCTTGTTACTAGCTAGT